GTGATGGAGAGGTGTGTTGAAGTATTATTGTGTTGTGGCTTATTTGATTCTTGAAATTGAGACAGATTTGTTTGATGTACATAGATGCTCCATTGTTTAGGGCATAAATATTTATAATTGTTATGTCTTGTTGATGTAATGATTCCCATAAGTAGTATGAAATGACCTTCTTTATCTCTTCTGATTAACTTTGGCTTAAACTCCACTTTATCTGATATGAGAATAGAGACCCCTGCTTGTTTATGAGATCCATGTGGATGATATGTTTTTCCCCATCCTTTTAACTTCAGTTTGTGGACATCTTTGCCTATGAAGTGAGTCTCTTAGAGGTAGCATATCGCTGGGTCCTGTTTTTAAATCCAATCTGCCAGTATTTTGATTGATGAGTTTAGGCCATTTATATTCAATGTTACTGTTGAGAAATGATTTTTATTCCCTGACAGTGTAATTTATTTCTGGTTTTTAATTTGATTTAGTTTCTCCTTTGATTGACTATTCTTCTAGTGTAGTTCCTCCCTTAGCTGGTATTCACTTTATTTTTTATTCCTTCTCCATGGAATATTTTATTGAGTATGTTTTGTAGTACAAGCTTTCTAGTTGTGAATTCTTTTAGCTTTTTTTTATTATGGAAGGGTTTTATTTCATTGTCAATTCTGAAGCTTAATTTTGCTGAGCATAGTATTCTTGGCTGGCATCCATTTTCTTTCAGAGTTTGGTTTATATTATTCCAATACCTCCTAGCTTTTTGGGTTTGGTTTGAGAAATCTGTTGAGATCTGGATTGGTTTCTGTAAAATGTGACTTGTTGTTTTCTCTGGCAGCCTTTAAAATTCTATCTTATTCTGTATGGGAGGCATTTTTATAAAATTGAGAAGGGCTTGCCTGATGTATATAGATGCTTCACTGTTTGGGGAATAAATATTTATGATTGTTTTGTCTTGTTGATGTATAATTCCCTTAAGTAATACAAAATGGCCCTCTTTGTCCCTTCTGATTAACTTTGGCTTGAAGTCTACTTTATCTGATATGAGGAAGAAATTCCTGCTTGCTTACACAATCCATGTGAGTTATATGTTTTTTTCCATCCTTTCACCTTCTGTCTGTGGATGTCTTTGACTATGAGGTGAGTCTCTTCGAGATAGCATATTGTTGGGTCTTGTTTTTAATGCTGTATACCAGTCTGTGTCATTTGATTGATGAATTTAGGCTGTTAACATTCAAGGTAATTATTGAGATACAATTTGTATTCCCATTTTGGTTTATTTCTAATTTTTAATTTGAATTGGTTTCTCCTTTGATTGACTATTCCTTTAGTGTAGTTCCTCCCTTTGCTGGTTTTCACTTTTTTAAAAAAATTTCATCTTCATGGAATATTTTGTTGAAAATATTCTGTAGTGCAGGCTTTCTAGTTGTGAATTCTTTTAACTTTTGTTTATCATGGAAGATTTTTATTTCATCATCAGATCTGAAGCTTAATTTTGCTGGATATAGGATTCTGAGTTGGCATCCATTTTCTTTCAGAGATTGGTATGTGTTATTCCAGGACCTCCTAGTTTTGAGGGTCTGGGTTGAGAAATCAACTGAGATCTGAATTGATTTCCCCTTGTAATCTAATACTTTTCTCTCACAGATTTGAAAATTCTATCTTTGTTCTACATACGAGGCATTTTCATTATAATGAGGCTTGATGTGGATCTGTTATAAATTTTGTACATTGGGGGTCCTGTAAGTCTCTTGTATTGGATTTTCCATTTCATTCTTTAGATTTGGGAAATTTTCTGATATTATTTCATTGAAAAGATTCTGCATTCCTTTGATTTGTATCTCTGAGCCTTCATCTGCCCCAACAAATCCTATATTTGGTCTTTTTATATAATCCTATATTGCTTAGAATTTCTACTCATGATCTCTTAACAAATTTTTGCCATGGTCAAGTTCATTTTAAAAATATATACATGTCTTTATTGCCTAAAACTTTGTTTTTCAAGTGGTATAGTGTGCTGATGATGCTTTTTATTGAATTTCTAATTTGGTTTATTGATTCCTTCATTTCCAGGATTTCTGCTTGATTTTATTTTTTTTTAGAATCTCTATCTCTTTATTGAAGTGGTGATCTCTCACTTTGTGTATTTTCTCTCTGATTTCACTCTATATCATCCTTTACTTCACAGATCAGTTTAACTCTGAACATTCTAAACTCCTTCTCTGACATTTCTTCCATTGTGGTACACATGGGTTCTATTATTGAAGTATCTATTATTGAAGTATTGAATTATTCCCTTGCTTTTTCATCTTGTTTGTGTGCCCAGCCATCTAACAGTATGGATCTGAGGCAGTAGAGTTTTTAACCTGTGGACTTAAAGTGTCCCTGAAAGTTTCTAAAACCTCACTGTTTAGGGGGAGACAAATAATAACAACAACCAATGCAAACAATACACAGCATTACATCAAATATTTCATGCTGTGACATCTTTAATGCTAATTGTCAAAATAAACAGAAATTTTACCATCAGTTATTGCCCACAGTAAAAAACAGTAAGTTTGCAAATAGGTTTAGAATTTTGAATGGACAAGAAGAGAACAAAAATGATGTAGGAAGTAATGATTATGAGGGAGGAGGAGAGAGAATAGAAGTAAAAAAATCAAAGGAAGAATAAAAGGGAGAACAATAGAGATTGGCTATTAGCAGAAGAGAAAAATACAATTGAGGGAAACACATAAGTGAGAAAAAATATGTATAAAGTAAAAATTTAAAAATTAACATAAAAGCATAAAAAACAAAACCAAAATATACTAACCAAATATCCTAGTCCTAAAAATACTGATCCATGAAAAATAACTGGCTTTGAAAATGACAGAAATGAGGGGAAAAAAACACAAAACACAAAAACAAGTATATGTGTGTGTGTGTGTGTGTGTGTGTGTGTGTGTGTGTGTGTCCCTGAACCATTCAGGTAACAATTAAACAGAGAAAAAAAGAATAAATAAAAATTTTTTAAAAATCTCAATGAAAAGTTAAAAAATTGTTTCTACTGGAGTTAAAAAGATTCTCAGTTTCCCTTCTCAGCAGTGTTAGGTTAGGTGGGCTGGAGTGTGATGCTGGCTACACCCTCAGGATGGGGTTGCTAGAGTTTGAGAGGAAATCCCTAGGTGGTGTCCTAGGAGGTAGGGTTTAGGCTTAGGTAGGCTCCAGGGTTTTTGTTGAATGGTGATTGGTCTGAAAATTTTAAATCAGCTCACCTCCAGGGCCCAGCATTTGCCAGTCCATCCTGAAGAGTGCACCCCAGCGATTCCCCTCTGGGTTCCATTCCTGCAGTGGTAGAGGCAATTCTTAGTCTCCTTTATCACCTGCAGGAACCTCTCCCCTTTCCTGGTCTTGACTTAAGCCTCCAAACTCTTCTGCCCCACCCCCTTTCGAATTCCCAGCCAGACATGTCTCTTCCAACTGGTCCTACAAGTGGCTGGATTGGAGGTGGGGTGGGGATGAGTGGGGGTGGGTAGGGGGAACAGGGGGACCTATACAATCTGTATTCCTGTGTAATCCCTGTGTAAACCCCGCTCCATGTTTGATTTTCTTCTGGTCACTTAGGCACACTCCATGTCTTGCAGTGTGAGTTTTCTGGGCCTGTATTTTGGGCCGTACTCATGTTTGCCAGGAATTGGCTCCCCCAGATGCCAGCCCCTGAGCTATGACTGCAAAACGGTTTCTGACTCTGTCCTCTGTAGGCAGCCTGGAGAGGCATGGCTTCTTTCCTGCACAAGGATACTGTGCAGCACATCTTTCAGTTTAGTTGGTCAGTGTCTTTGATCTCTGATTTTTGTATTTGCACACCCCTCAGCCCTCCTAAAAATGCAGGTTCCTTTAATTCCCTTATCCCTCCACTTTGCTCATGGAGGGACTTCTCTAGCTCATGCCTCCAGCTATAGAAGCAGCTGTGGTGCTGCGGATTTCTTCCTTATTTTATCCAACCTCCTAAGTCCCTGATCTGCTTTGAATGTCCAGAATTAAATCCTGGTAAAGTCCCTGCACCCCTTTTTTTTTTTTTTCATGTCACAAAGAAGCCAAGAAAGTGACCTTCTCTATTCCTCCATCTTGGGGGAAAAAACTTGTTTTATTAATTTTACAATGTATACCTGTATCAGAACATCACACTGTACTCCATAAATATGTACAATTATTTTGTCAGTCAATAATAAAATAAATTTCATGAATGTAAAGACCACCTCTTATCATTGAAAAGAAGGAATTGGGCTTTGTTTTTATAATATCAAACAATGAAATGTGACCAAAGAAGAATTTTTTCTAATGTATGATGGTAATTATATAGTCTTAAAACTCCTGATATATTTTAACAAATCACCCCTAATGTTGCTTTTAAGATAATGAGCATGAGTTATATGGATCTACGTTTCAATCCCATCTTTGCCACTTACTAACTGTGTAACTTGAGTGAACAATTTAATCTCCCTAAACCTCACTTTTCAAAATTCCTAAATTGACAGTAATAATAATAATAACTACTTTAAAGTATTTCTATGAGGATTAAATATGTCTATGCATTTGAAGTAACATCGCAATGTTTGCTTTATTAAAATCCCATGTATTCTTGTTATTACTATTGACATATTAAGATTTACAGAGTATATTTTTTGTAACTATTCCCATAGAAGGCATAAAATTTATTACTTGTTACAAAGTAAACTTTGTTACTTGATTTAAGATTTTCTGTAATAAAAATCTGGACTTTTGCAAGAAGTTTGTATTTTAGTATAAAGATGTATGCCATTAGTTACCAAATACATCAATATTTTTAACATCATTAAGGATTGGTGTTTACAATTCATAGTTTATGAAAGGACATCTGTATGGTCCCCTAAGTGATTGTCCTCTAGCAACTGTGCCAGAGAAAGGGTCCCTCTTCTGTATCACTTCTTTTCAATATATGGATATATTTAGGTCAACATTGATGAAATGCTTCATTTAGCTTCCCTCTCTTCCAGCTTTGGTTCTCCTTTGTTAATGGATTCTCTGGGCAGATTATATTTGAGCATTGGTGCATCAGCTTGTACAATGTGGTAAGCATCCTCTTCCTCTCTCTGATAGCATGCATAACTTCAAGAATTTCTAAGTCAGTCATCTGGGTACTTAGCACTCAGGACAAATACCTCTTTAGGGCCTTCCTTGCCATGACAAGTCATACAGAAGTTCAAACTCTTCACATGTACTTTCAATCACGGCAGATTATTTTAGAGTAAGTATGTGAAATGTGTACCAAATGTGTTATTATTACATAAAACATATGCAACTTTTTTACTCTATACCTAAGCAAAGTTTTCCTGCTTTTAAGCCAAGTGAAAATTACTAAAATTTATCTATACCCATTCTAATTAATACATAAAGTTTAGGTTTCCCTACATTTGCATTTATGTGTATGTGTGTGTTTATATTGTAATTCCATGTGCTTTTAAACAAACTGCTTAAAAACTGATATGAAAAGTATATCACGTGTTTGTACTAAATAATAAATTTTATCTTGTTTTATAGTATATGTTTTCTGTTATAATGAAATTTTCTAAAATTTAGAAAAGAATCCTTTGAGTCACTTAAATCATTTGGAAGTCAAAAGTAGCCACATTACCTTTTCCCTTTTTTCTTTTTGTATTGTTATTTCATCTTAAGACTTTGAGGATTAGAAATTAGGTTTCCAGCAAGTATAACAGGATGCCTCTCTTGTACGGAATTATAGCAATCACTGTGTATTATGTGCTATAACCTCTGAAATTCTGTCTTCTAGGAGCTTGAATTCAGAAACAACACAGGCAGATGTCACTGGACAGAAGACATTGACTGTCCAATAATATAAAAATGTCTAGCTCTGTGAATAATTAATTTGTATTGGTGTCCATAGCTAGATGGATTTGGCAAGAGTACAGCAGCAATGAGGCTATACACACAGTTGTCTTTATTAGACTCTTGATCACAGAGGATAATATTAATCAACCTTCTTTAAAGGTTCCATAGTGGTGAAGAGGGTGACAGAATCTCTCCTCTCTCCTAGAAAAATCACTATCAATATACAAGCCTCAGATACTGATCAATGGAATCTTATATTTTTATAATAGGAAACATAGATGTAATTTGGTTTTAGCAAGCAGTAAGTAGATGACATGAATATCCATTGACTTCCTAAGTCTCATCCCAGTTCACATTCACTTTACAGTTAGGATAAAAACAAAGCTCAAGACCACAGTGCCAGAGATAGATAGACTCTGTTTGCTTATTTTATAATTACATCAACTGTCATACTATTTCTAGAGGTCATGTATTACTTCTACCCATGTATGACCAACTATTACAAGAACTATAAAAAAATAAAACAAACAAAAAATTAGCATATCAGATGAAATGTATAAAACAAAATTTTCAGACTTTGGGTAACAGGCTGACTGATGGTGTTGTCTCTGGGAGAAGTCTTACTTCCCAGCCACAGTGAAGGAAGACAAACCCAAAGCAAAATGAAAGAAAAGAAAGTCCAGGGGTCCTCCTGAATGAAGACACAAAGGTTGGAGTTCAGCAGGCCAAGGTAGCTAGGATTTGCCTGGCAGAATGACAGAAAAGAAAACTAGAGGGGCTGGGGTTGTTGCCCAGTGGTAGAGCGCTTGCCTGGCATGTGCAAGACCCTGGGTTGGATCCTCAGCACCACATATAAATGAATCAATAAAAAGATCCATTGACAATTAAAAAAAGAAAACTAGAGAGAGAGAGAGAGATAAGAGAGAATGTGTCTGAAGAACCGCAGAGGATCCCCGTCAGTGTAGAACTGGTTCATACATGCACTGAAAAAAGTCTATGCAAAGTTGAGGAAAGAACTACCAGAAAGGCCAAAATAGTTCTTGGAGCTCATTCAGGGCTGGGAATAATCTGTATTCTTATCAGCCAGATTGGGAAGACCTCCTTTTACATAGGATCTTAGGTAAATTCCTCATACAGGCCACTTTGAATCGTAAGGGTGAATTCGTCCTATTATAGAAATTATGGTGAACCTCCAATTACAAAACTTACATATTTTACAACATATAATCAGTCCCCTATATTTCAGAACACAGGCAAAAGAGCTGGGGGTGGTGACATATAACTATAATCCCAGTGCCTCAGGAGGCTGAGGCTAGAGGATAACAAGTTTAAGGCCAATCTCAGCAACTTAATGAGGCCCTGAGCAATTTAGTGAGACAACATCTCAAAATAAATATATAATAAAAAAGAGCTGTGGATGATGCTTAGTAGTTAAGCACCTCTGGGTTTAATTCCTGGTTTAAATAACAACCAAACAACAACAACCAGAAGAAAAAGAACACAGACACAGTATTTAGATGACAAACACCAGCACTTCAGCTCCCAACAACATGTTTGTAATATTCAGCTTTCAATAATTAGGTGAAACATACATCAATAAAGACTAATTCAGAAATGGAATTAGTAGGCAAAAACCTTAAAACAATTACTATAAATTTTATAAACATGTTCAAGGATATAAAGGAAAACATGAATATAATGAGAAAGATAAAAGATGTAGAAAAGAACCAAATAGAATTTCATGAGATGAAAGATACACTATCTAAAATGAAAAAAATATATATGGAAAAATTAATAGTAGATTACAAACCTCAGAACATGATCAATAAATATGAAGACATGTCAGTAGGAAGGACAGAGGAAAAGATATGGAAAAAATGTGGTCAGAAACATTGTGCTCAGGAAGAATGTCAGGAACTCTTGTCCTTATATTTAGAGCTTCAAAAGAGGGTGCAGAAAAATGTTTCAAGAAATATTGATTGAACATGTCATAATTTTGTGAACATTATAAACACAGAGATGTAAGAATATCAACAAATTTCACAAAGAATAAGCCTAAACAAAAAGTACATGTATGTTCTTTACAATCAAATGGCTGAAAACCAGTGACTACAAGAATATTATAAAAAGCAGCCAGATAAAAAACAAACACTACAGAGTACAAATGTAAAAATAAAAGCAGACCTCATGTTAGCAACCTCATAGACTATGCATAAAACAATAGAATAACTTTAAAGTTCTGATTAATCTATATTAATCTAGAATTCTATACCCAGCAAAAATGTCTTTAGAAAATTAAGGTGAAATTAAAATCTATACACATTCAGAAAATAGGGAATTCATCACCAGAAGACCCTGGATGCCTTAAATATTAAATTAAGTTATTTAAGCAAGAGGAAAAATATCCAAACATTTGGATTTCTACAAAGAATTGAAGTGCATCAGAAAATATTGATTATGGTGGGAAATGTGGGAAATTTCTCAATCTCTTTAATTGGTTAAATGGTTTGTTTAAAACCCAACTAATAATTTAGAGTTTATCAATTATATAGAGTTAAGATACATGACAAGTATAGCAAAGTGAACAAGTGAGGAGTTAAAATACAATAGTATTTGAATTTTGTGATATATTCCTCATGTATAATGTAAATCTTAATGAATACCTAATAAAAAGTATAGATAATAAGACTGTAATGGAGATAAAAATTAAAAATGATTAATGAAAAAGAATTCAGGAAATGAGGTAAAAGAATGAATGCAACAAACACAAAACAAATAGGAAGATTTAAAATCCAACATATTTATAATCACAAGTGACCTAACCATGCTAATTAAAAAGCAGACTGTCATATTGGATTTAAAATTAATATAAAACTATATGATTTCTACAAGAAACCTTGAAACATAAAGACAAAAGGGAAAATTGAAAAAAAAATTTTACTATGTAAATACTAATAAAAGAAAGCTGGTACATTAGTCGTCCGTCTATGACCAAAATGCCTGGAATAAACAACTTAAAGGAGGAAAGATTTATATTGGCTCATGGTCAGCAGGCTTCAGCACTTTGGACCTGAGATTAAGCAGAACATCATTATAGAAGGAAGGAGAGCCGCTGTTCAGCTCCTGGCAGCCAGGAAGTACAGAGCGGTGGGGGAAGAGGCAAGGGTCAGGATGTAGTCCCCAAGGGCATGCCCCAAGGACCCACTCCCTTCAACCAAGGTCCCTTTCCACAATTTCTACTACCTCCTAGGAGTCCATTCAGCTATGAATGGATTAACTCACCAATGTGGTCAGAGCACTCCTGATCCACTCACTTCCTATTGGAAATCCACTCACTCTTACATTGGAAAACACATGGGTCTCTGGGGGACACTTCATATCCAAACTGTAATAACTACAGTAGCTGTAGAAATCATAGAATAGCAGACTGCAGAACAAGAAATGGTCTAATGACAAAGATGTGCATTTCTTAATGATAAAAGAATTAAAATAATTCTAAATATGTAATCTCTATTAAAGTAGCATATTAGCAACTTATTAGAAATTAAGAATCATATATAATTAAATGGCAAATTAATTAAATTCACACATACAGTTGGAGATTTAAAACTCTTTTTTTAATTGATATAAACTATATATAAAACTTCAGAAAGTGCACAGAGGTTTTGAACAATATTATAACTAACTTGACCAAATTGACATTTATAGAAAACACCCAACCACAATAGCAGAATCTGTATTTTTTTTTCCAAGAGGTAACAGCACACACTCTTATTTTGCTTCTGATCTTAAGGGCACACTTTCATTATTATTTTACCATTAAAATATATCAGCTGCAGTATTTTTGAGGAAGCTCTTTCACATTGTTCACCTAGTGGAATAACTGTGTGCTTCTTCCTTTTGAATCTGTTAACATAGTGAATTACTTTGGTGAAAGATTCACCAAATAAATCACATACTGGGCAATAAGAGTTAATATGTTCTTTGACCACAATGGATTTAAAGTAGAAATCAAAAGCAGCAATATATTATAAAATACCCATCTGTCTAAAAAATTAAAGAACACCCTTCTAAATGCACCATAGATCACAGAAGAAATCACTGGAGAAATTAGAAGATAATTTGACAGAAAAAAAAAGAACACACAGATTTTCAATTTGTACAAGATATTGCTAAAGCAATGAATGCATAGAGGAGTATATACATTTTTAAAAGCTTATATTGAAAATAAGAGCCTAAAATCAGTGAACCAAGAATCATCCTAAAGAAACTAGAAAAAAGAAGAAGAAATGAAGCCCAAAATAAGCACAGCAAAATAAGTAACAAAGAAAATGCCTGAGTTAAATAAAAGTAAGGCAGACAAACAAGACAGAAAACCAAACTGACTGCTAGAAAAGGTCATTAGGCTGATAAATCCCTAGACAAACTGACCAAATGAATCAAATAAAAATAAAATAAATAAAAAAGATACCAATTAACAGTAACACATACGAAAGAAGACTTTTTACTATAGACTCTACAGATAACAAATACAAAGTAAGCAAATATTTTAACAAATTATTATGACATATTAGGTGAAATTAACACATTTCTTGATTAAATGGATAAATTCCCCCCCCCCTTTATTTTTGGTGCTAGAGATCAAAGGCAAAAACCCGACCAACTGAACTATAGCCCCAACCCACTGGATAAATTCCTTCAAGGATGCAAACTACTAAATATCATTGAAGAACAAAATGATCCATGCCTATGAAAATTTTTGAAGTTTTAGTTAAAAATCTTCCTACTTAAACAAAAATAATTCCAGAAATATTAACAAATTTAGACCAAAGTTTTCCAGAAAAGAGGAGGAAACAACCCAACTCACTTATGATGTAGCTTTACCTTGCTGCCAAAACCAGAAAGGTATTACAGAAAACAAGAATTTAAAAAACATAGTTCAACTAGGTGCAGAGGCCCTGCTTATAATCCCAGGGACTTCAGGAGGCCAAGGCAGGAAGATTGCAAATTCAAGACCAGCCTCAGCAACTTAGCAAGACCATGTCTCAAAATAAACATACAAAAGGACTAGGCCTGTCACTCAGTGGTAGAGCACCCCCGGAGTCAATCTCCAGTACCAAAAACAAAAACCAGAGAGTGAATATGGCTCATGTACTTCCATTTTTTTAACACATTTTTCTTTCCTTCTCTCATTTTTTGTCCTCTTTACTCCCTTTTCTCTCTCTCCTTCCCCACTTTCCATATAATATAATGCTTTCTATTTAATTTAATATAGTTCCTAGAATAATGGTAAATATTCAAAGATAAAATGAATGGGAAACCTCTTCTTATTTCTGATAACAATAAGATAAAGAATTCTTGTAAAGTTATTTTTTGTTTAGTCCAGTCTATTTGCAAACTCCTGGTAAGTGAATAGCTAGTTCTCATGTAGGAGTTAGATGACATTATTACTAGATTTTTGTAGCCATTATGGCTATTATTTAAATAGCTAGATACTTGATTCATTCATTTTACTCTCATAAACATGACAAAGTGTGTAAATTTTGTGTGCAAAAAGCACAGTGTGCATAATTATAATGTATTGACTCAAAGCATTAAATCAATCTGAAAAATTATGTCATAGTTTTTGATAGACCCATTTGAATTTATGTGACTCAATAATAATAGCTCCTTTGTAAATAACTTCTTTTTATGCAATTTAAGACATATCAAAAGTTGCAACAATAGTTGAAAGTTCTGTGTATCATTCACCCAGCTTCCCCCAAGATGAAATCTTAATAATCATAAAACATATTGTCAAAGCAAAGATGTTGATATTGATAAACTCACTTATAGACTAAAAGTTATTTTTAACAAATCCTTATTATCTACGTAGATTTTCACTTCGTTACCACCTTTAACTCTGGGAATCTTTGAGAAATGTTGCAGTCAAAAGAGCCTCCTGGAGTATCCACAACTCTACACAGTTTTCCAGACAGGGGAAATGTTCAACACAAAGGTAAAGAAAAATTTATTACAGGTTTTCCATCTCAACCTGACTCCAAACATACCTTTGATCCTCTTCCCTTTCTGATGCTTTAGGGGGGAAATTATTTAAAACACAAGAATGTTGCATTTGGTGTCATCTTCCTGCTAGTTTAGGGAGCTAACTTTGAAACAATAGAAATAACAGTAAATGAGAAATGGAAAACAGAAACAAAAAAGAAAGTCATGAGAAAAACAAGCAAGGTGCCGTGTGTGGTCTCACAGAGTTTGCACCACTTTCAGGAGGCGTGCGGAGTGAGGGAAAGGATGGAAGAGGACCTGGTGACTCCAAGTTGAGATTCCGTGTGGGGAGGTGGGAGTGGGAGGGGTGTTAAAGGGATGTTTCTAGGCTGCAAGAGGAATGTCACACACTTTTATCAATTTTGAGTAAACATAACTGTACATCTCAATAATTAGTGAAGCTAAAAAAAAAAAAAAAAAACCTAGAACCTAGTATAAGCCTTTAAAAAAAGGAGAGAGTTTGGCTATTTTGAGCCAAAACATTTAAGACTTGGTTTTGGCTCAAAATAATCTTATCTTTCATCTTCTCTTAAAAAATGAATTGATGAGGTAAAGTACATAATGTCATTCAAAACTTTTCTGTCTTTACAGACTTTTCTGTCCACTTGTTCTATTGAGAGGTATTAAAATCTCCAACCATATTGTAGATTTATCTATTCCCCTTTGAAGTTCTAGTAGTTTTATGTATTTTGAAGCTGGTGTTAGGCATGATCCTGTTGGAGGTTGTCATATTCTCTTGAAAGACCCCTTTGTCTTTATGAAATGACTTATTATTTCTGATAGTATTCTTTGCCCTAAAATCCATGTTGCTAGTAATATAATTATTTCAACTTCTTTTACTTTTTATATACTTGTTTATTTATATTTCAATGTTTATTGGAGAGAGCTTGAAAACTTGCTTTATTATCCAAACTGATGTGTGCCTTTTAACTGGATGGATAATTTACATCGAACATACATTTTTATTTGATTAGGTTCAAGCCCACCATCTTGCCATTTTCTATTTTGTCTTATGTATAATTTTTCCATTCTTCTTTTCCTGTCTTCTTCTGGATTAATTAATTTTCATGAGTCCTATTTTATTTTCTTTGTTCACTTATTTGTTATAAACCTTTGCTTTCTTATTTTAGAAGTTCCATTTGAATGTATAATATTTGTTGTTAGCTTATAATTTACTTTGAAGTGATATACTACTTCACATATATTATTAAAAAATAGTATATTTCCATCTCTTTCCTCCTAAGTTTTGGAATATTCTTCACATACATGTTAATTTTACTTATTTTTATAAGTTCTTTATGATATTATTCATATCTTGCTTAAACAATCATTATTTTAAAAAATTTAAATAGAAAAATGTCTTATCTTACCCAGGTAATTATCATTTTCAGTCTTTTGTGTAGAATCATATTATCTGTTATGATTTTCTTTCTGTCCGAAGACTTCCTTTTAACATTTCTTGTAGAGCAAATCTATTGACAATAACTCAGCTTTTTGCTTGTTAGTTATTTTTAGTTGTAGATGGACACAATACTTTTATTTATTCATTTTCATGTGGTGCTGAGGATCGAACCCAGTGACTCACATATGCTGGACAAACGCTCTACCACTGAGTGATCACCCCAGCCCCTTAACTCAGCTTTTGTATGTATGAAAAATCCTTCCTTCAATTCATGTTTGAAGTTGTTTTTATTTGGTCTATTAACTTTGTGTTACTATAATAATATAATATAATATAATACCTGAGGAAATTATAAAGATGAAATGTTTATTTAGTTTATGATTCTGAAGGTTCCAGGTCCAAGATTGAGTTACACCAAAGCTTTAGGCACTGCTATAGGAACTGGATGACAATGACAGGAAGCACATGCCAGAGCACAGTGCTTACATCTTGAGCCAGGAAGCAGAGAGAAGGAGAGAGAATGATACAGGGTCCTACAACCACCCCCTTCAAGGGCATGCTCCTTACAAGGACCTAAAGACTTCCCACAAAGTCTACCTCCTAAAAGTCCACAGTACGTCCCAGTAAAGCTACCCTGAGATCAAGGACCTCTGGGATACACTACCAATATTCAAACTGTAGCACTTGGCTAATGGTTTTATTTCTTTAAAATTTGAGATTGATTGTTTTCTTTCAATATTTTTCATATTTTTTTTCTTGTTTGCATTGTTTTGATGTAAAATTGCTGTTACCTTCCTCCTTATGTAAAACGAGTCTTTCTTCTCTTTTTGGTTTTAAAATTTTTTTCTTTATTTATTGGATATAAGCATTTTATCATATTTCCTCATGTTTCTTGTGCTTCTCGGAATGATGGGAGTTTATTGAGCTTCTTGGATCTGTGTGTTAAGACCATTACCTATGGGCCAAATCCAGTCCTCTACCTGGTTTTATAAGTTTCATTGGTACATAGCCATGCCTACTCAATTACATATCACGTGTGACGGAGGTGACTGAGTGGGAGCAACACAGATGACACAGTTCCAAACCCTAAGATAATCCAATCTCTTCCAGAAAATGTTTTCTGGTTCTTATTTTTAATACTTCTTGGCAAGTATAAAAATAATTGGTATATTTAAAATTGGAAGAACAATATACATTTTTTATCATTTAACTAATGTGTACCCTTGTTTGGTGGAACCCAGAGATTCAGTATTATTGAGATTTCTTTTAAGAAACTTATACATGGTGTGTTAAAAATTATTTTGATGAGGGTCAGAGTATAGATGTAAAAGATCAGAGCATATCATGTTTAGTTTCAAATTACATTTAAACTCATAACTTTAAAATTGAGCAAAATTCTTTTCTTTTGAAAATTACTTTTGGTTTTGTTTCATTGGGTATAATAAACTTTCATAATTTTTGTGACAAATATATTTTAGTTTTATATATTTTTATCTAATAGATTTAAATAGAATAATGTGTAATATAATAATAATGATATCCTAAATCTTAAATGATTTCAATAATATCCTATAATTTTAATTTATATTATTCTATAATTTTACATAACATATCAGATAATGTTCCTATAATTTTGAAATTATTTCTTTTAAAAATAAATAAATAAATAATACATTTTTTCAATTTACAGAAAAATTTTTCAGCTTTATGACTGTATTATACAGAGCAAATATACTTCACAATGTCATATATTTTTAGATTTAGACCAAACTACCATCTTTTTTAAAATTAGTTGTTCAAAACATTACATAGCTCTTGACATATTTCATACATTTGATTCAAGTGGATTATGAATTCTCATTTTTACCTCGTATACAGATTGCAGAATCACATTGGTTACACATCCACGTTTTTACATACTGCCATACTAGTGTCTGTTGTATTCTGCTGCCCTTCCTATCCCCTACTATCCCCCTCCCCACCCCTCCCCTCCCATCTTCTCTCTCTACCCCATCTACTGTACTTCATTTCTCTCCCTTGTTTTTTCCCCCCTTTCCCTTCACCTCCTCTTATATGTAATTTTGTATAATGATGAGTGTTACCATCTTGACTTTCTTGCTTTGTTTTCTTTTAGGTGTTTTGGATTCAATGTATAAATGCTTTGATCCACTCCTTCATTCTCTTCTGGTTTCCCACAAAAATGCTGGAGCATGGTAATAGCTTCATTATTTCAAATATTCAGCAGAGTCTGTAACTATTGCTGAAATTAATGTTTTCATGTGATGTGCATATCCATAGAAAGAACTGGAGGACACAAAAATAGAATTCAGCAAAAACAAACAAACAAACAACTCACCTAAATCTAGTATTAGACATTCCTAGCTCTGAGGTGGGGAGGAACTAGGTCATGATTCAAATGATAAAAGGGATCAATCCCTTGTCCCACACCCCCCCCCAAAAAAAAAGGAAGGAAGGGAATCAGTATCCAACTTTGCTATAATATGTTATGTAAAACATCCCATTTCAACATCAGCATTCAATTTAGAAATATGACCAATAATCAATGAATATTTTTGGGGGGTCCACTATGGGTTTCTTTGGTAAAAATAAATTCAAAATCTGTATTACAGACTCCATAAAGATTAAAACATGATTTTTTTTCACTTTTCAGATATGATATTGCGACATGGTTACACCACAGACTATTTATTTCTTGGAAATTTTATTTATTCGGTAAGATTACTCTTAAATTAATTAAATCACTTATTTCTAAGTAAAACAAATCACTTTATCAAATGTTATAAGTCAGTATCCTATGAATTCTCTCACTCTAATGTCTTTTCCAAGAAGAAACTATTGTAGCAGTTGCTTATATATATTTCTAGAAATATAAACCTTATTACAAATGTATGTTACCTCCCTCCCTACTTTTTTTGATAAGAAGGAAATGTTTCTCAATATCTCATTTTTTCCCACTATATAGCATGCCTTGCTGATTTCAAATCAGCCCATAAATTTTACATCATCCTTTTAGGGTTGCTTGTATGAGTAACTTGCCATTATTAATTTAGCTAGTCTCCTATTAGTGGACATTACTGTTATTTTTCGTCCTTTGACATTATGAACAATACTACAAAGACTATTCGTATGTGCCCAGAAGTAAGTATATCTGTAGGATAAATTTCTAGGAGCTCAATTTTAGCTATATCAGATGGTAGCATGAATTTTGAAAAACATTACCAAATATTCCCCCAAAGAGTACACGTATTTAGTAATAAGAACATCAATTTCCCTGAGTCCCATGGGCAGTGATCTTATCACACTTCTTCATCCAAAAATGATAGCCTATTGCAGTTTTTGCTTTGAGAGCAATCATATTTGTGTGATTATAAATCAATTCCTTTTTTTTTTCTTTCCATGAACTGCTTGTTGTTGTATTTAGTTCTATTGAGATGTCATTTTTTTTCTTGTTATTGTGTACATATACGTACATACCATTCATCTATTGAGGGAAACCTAGGTTGGTTCCATAGCTTAGCTATTGTGAATTGAGCTGCTGTAAACATTGATGTGGCCACATCACTGTAGTATGCTGACTTTAAGTCTTCTGGTTATATATCGAGGAGTGGGAGAGCTGGGTCAAATGGTGATTCCATTCCAAGTTTTCTGAGGAATCTCCATACTACTTTCCATAGCAGTTGCACCAATTTGCATTCCCATCAGCAATGTATGAGTGTACCTTTTCCCCCACATCCTTGCCAACATTTATTTTTGCCTGTATTCTTGATGATTGCCATTCTGACTGGAATGAGATGAAATCTTAGAGTAGATTTGATTTGCATCTCTCTAATTACTAGAGATGTTGAACACTTTTTCATATATTTGTTGATCAATTGTATTTCTTCTTCTGTGAAGTGTCTGTTCTAACAGACATATATAGACTATTTCACCCATCAGCTATGATTCTATACTTGGAAGACCCTAAAAGTTCCATCAGAAAACTCCTAGAACTAGAAAATGAAGTCAGCAAAGTAGCAGGATATATAAATTAACACCCATAAATCAAAGGCATTTCTGTATACCAGTGACAAATCCTCAGAAAGGGAAATGAAGAAAACTGCCCCATTCTCAATAGCCTCAAAAAAATTAAAATACTTGGGAATCAACTTAATGAAAGAGGTGAAAGATCTATATAAAGAAAATTACAGAACTCTAAAGAAATCAAAGAAGACCTTAGAAGATGGAAAGATCTACCTTGCTCTTGTATAGGACAAATTAATATTATCAAAATGACCATACTTCCAAAAGCACTATACAGATTTAATGCAATTCCTATCAAAATCCCAATGGCATTCCTCATATAAATAAAAAAAGCAATCATGAAATTCATCTGGAAAAATAAGAAGCCCAGAATAGCTAAAGCAATTATAAGCAGGAAGAGTGAAGCAGGTGGCATCACTATACCAGACCTTAAACTATACTACAGAGGAATAGTAACAAAAACAGCATGGTATTGGCACCAAAACAGAGTTGATAAACCAGTGGTACATAATAGGGGACACAGAGAATAACCCACAAAAATACAATTATCTTATATTAGACAAAGTTGCCAAGAACATGCATTGGAGAAAAGATAGCCTCTTCAACATATGGTGCTGGAAATCCATATGCAACAAAATGAAATTAAACCCCTATCTCTCACCATGCACAAAACTCAAAATGGATCAAGGACTTAGGAATACAACCAGAGACCCTGCGTCTAAGAGAAGAAAAAGTAGGCCCTAATCTCCATCATGTGGGATTAGGCCCCAACTTCCTTAATAAGACTCCTATAGCACAAGAATTAAAATCAAGAATCAATAAATGGGATGGACTCAAACTAAAAAGCTTCTTCTCCACAAAAGAAACAATCTGTGAGATGAATAGAGAGCCTATATCTTGGGAGCAAATCTTTATGTCTCACGCATCAGATAGAGCACTAATTTCTAGGGTATATAAAGAACTCAAAAAGCTAAACACCAAAAAACAAATAACCCAATCAATAAATGGGCCAAGGACCTAAACAGACACTTCTCAGAGGATAATGTACAATCAATTAACAAATACATGAAAAAATGTTCATCATCACTAGCAATTAGAGAAAGCAAATTAAAATCACTCTAAGATTTCCTCTCACTCCAGTCAGAATGGCAGCTATTATGCATCAAACAACAATAAGTGTTGGTGAGGATGTGGGGAAAAGGGTACACTCATACACTGCTGGTGGGACTGCAAATTGATGCAGCCAATATGAAAAGCAGTATGGAGATTTCTTGGAAAATTAGGAATGGAACCACCATTTGACCCAGCTGTCCCTCTCCTCGGTCTATACCCAAAGGATTTAAAAACAGCATACTACAGGGACATAGCCACATCAATGTTTATAGCAGCACAATTCACAATAGCTAAACTGTGGAACCAACCTAGATGCACTTCAATAGATGAATGGATAAAAAAATGTGGCATATATACATAATGGAATATTACTCAGCAATAAGAGAATAAAATCATGGCATTTGCAGGTAAATGGTTGTAGTTAAAGAAGATAATGCTAAGTGAAGTTAGCCAATCCCAAAAAACCAAATGCCTCATGTTTTCTTTGATATAAGAAGGCTGATTCATAGTGGGATAGGGAGCGGGAACATGGGAGGAATAGACAAACTCTAGATAGGGCAGAGGGGTTGGAGGGGAAGGGAGGGGGCATGGGGTAATTAATGATGGTAGAATATGATGATCATTATTATCCAAAATAAATGCATGAAGACATGAATTGGTGTGAATAGGCTATGGATACAACCATAGATATCAAAAATTATGCTCTATATATGTAATAAAATTGTAATGCATTCTGCTATCATATATAAATTTTAAAATTTATATAAAATGAATATTTTACCCATCAATGAGCAAATATACTTTTTTCTCAGCAGCATATGGCTCCTTCTCTAAAATAGATCATATCTTATGACACAAAGAAACTCTTAGGTAAATACAGAAATCCATAGAAGATACTCTTTTGATTTATAGTGGTTTCAATTTACCCTGCTCAACTGTATTTTTTTTTATTAATAGCACTCAGATTTCTAGGTAGAGTCAAATCTTTCATGGTATTTATAAAAAAAATAAAAGTAAATATAGGAGCTTATAACATAAGTATTAATTTGAGTCATATGCTAAAGAGTTCCTAAACACGTCCATATATTAGAAAACACTATATCCTCCTTAGAACTAAAACCCAGGAGAACATTTATCAACTTAATGACATTACAGTCCACCAGATGTGAGGATGAACGGGGGTGGGGGGGATGTCAGGAAAGGAGTAGGAGACATGAATTCTAATGGAAATTTTTTTTACATTTTTTATTTTATTGTCTTTGCCTTCCCATCTCAACTCTCACAGTATGTAGTTGTTACTGTTTGTCTGAAAGCTGGGCTGGAGACAACATCTTGGAATAGAGTAAGTATACTTCAGGAGTTTTTCTAAATCCATTGTTGTTACTATGTGCTGACTTACTTTTAATTTTTAGAAAAATAATAAGCTTTTGTTTGTTCTCCATACTCTATTTGATTTTGCATATTCAAATAATGATTTAAACTGGATGAAGGTATATTATTCATCTAATGTCTTTAGGATATTTGTTTTCCTGTTTTACATTTGAAATAGATTCAATTTAGCATACTCTAACTGAGATACTTCATTTACTATTATTATCCAAGTTCAGGATTAATACAGAAAATTTAGCTAACACAGAAATTTAAGTAAATACATATTTTCCATGCCTTTCAATGTGAATGCTATTGTTGACAGTTTGGTTTCTATTCTTTCAGTCTTTTTTCTATGTATGTTAACTTTTTTAAACAAGAATAAAATAATAGCTAGGCCAGAGTACATGTGTAATCCCAGAGACTCAGGAAGCTGAGGAAGGAGTTTGAGGCCAGCCCAGGCTATTTAGACCCTAGTCAACTTCGTAAGACCCTCTCTCAAAATAGAAAAGAAAAAGGACTGGGGTGTAGGTTACTGGTAAAGTGCCCCTGGGTTCAATTCCCAATATCAAAAATGAAAAAAAAAAGATTATAATGTAGCTAATGTTTTGTAATTTACTTTTTCACTTAATAATAGTTAACATTTTTCCATCTATTTAATCTGCATAGCTGATACAGAAGGGGCTGGAAGATGTACTCAGTGATAGAACACTTGCATAGATGCTCATGGCCCTGGGTTTGCTCCCCAGTATGGTGGTTTAAAAAAAAAAACCACCATAAACAAAGATTTTTTTTTTTGAGAGGAAATAAATTTATATTAGCTTGTAACTTTTTTTTTTTTTTTTGTACCAAGGATTAAACTCAGGGGCACTTGACCACCGAGCCACATCCCTAGGCCTATTTTGTATTTTTATTTTTTTTTAATTTAGAGACAGGGTCTCACTGAGTTGCTTAGCGCCTCACCATTGCTGAAACTGGCTTTGAATTCATGATCCTCTCCGTCTCAGTCCCTTGAGTCACTGGGATTGCAGGCATGCGCCACCCTAACCAGCTAGCTTGTCACCTTTTAAGAGCTAAGATGATGTAGTATATCATGTATTCTCTGATGCAATCAATTTGGAGTTCTGACCACAACAGTATTTCCAACTGGACCTTGATACTCAGTTATGAAAAAACATATTACATTAGCAGCTCATAAAACATACAAGTAATAAGCATGATATTATACCACCTTAACCCCTATGTAAATATAGAAACAATTATTTTCTATTTCTCATTCTAATTGTCAAATCCTCTCCTGTAAAGAATGTTTTCTAGGTTTAGGATCACTTATGTCTGTACATACTGAATCTCACTTTTTTTATTCATAAATATTTCTTTGTTTACTTATTTATTTAAAGTCCATAGCAAAAGTAGCAAAAACGGGGTGGGGGGGGGGCTTTCTTGTCGCCTGTGTTGCCCCATGTTCCTGCTCTCTACCTCCCATGGAGATTAAGAAGGAGTGTGGTAAAGGAAAACAAGGCATTGGTTGCCTACCCTGTGGAGATGATGGAGTAGGTGTTCTGGGGCTTCTTCTTGGGAAAGAGGAGGATATTGGAAGTCACCATTTAGGTGCAAGAACTAAGCAGGGCAGAGAGGTAGCAAAATGCCTCTCAAGAGCAGCATGGTGGCTTGCGACCACTCCTGCGTCCCATCAGGAACCCATCTGAAAATACTAAACCATACCGAAATGCCTAGCATTACAGCTAATGCATCCTGTCAATTACAAGGGAACCATTATGAAGATGCATTGTTGTATGTATGTAAATTTTAAAATTTTAGTTGTAGATGGATACAATACCTTCATTCTATTTATTCATCTTTATGTGGTGCTCAGGATCAAACCCAGTGCCTCACACATGCTAGGCAAGCACTCTACCGCTGAGCCATAACCCCAGCCCCTGCATTGCTGTTTTTTAAGTTTCAAAGTTCCCAGTTTTTGCCTGATCCTCTTTTCCACCATCTTCATGTGGAAATCATCTTTAATCATCTTTATGATCACAGGAAGACCCTTTCTGGGACCAGTTCTGTTTACTTTCACCAGAGAGAGGAATCATTTGACTAATAGGTTACCTTTTAAAAGAATGTGAAAAGTTGATTTTGAAGATAACTTACAAACACGGAGTCTGAGAACTGGCAGACTGGTCTTTTCCACTGTTACATTTGTTGTTTGAACATAATTAATCAACAAGCACTACCTAACAGGATGAGAGCACTTGAGCCCATTATAGAATTTGGCACAAGTTCCCAGACCCAGACATTGGCAGTGATCTTTCCTCCAGTTATCTCTACTAGGCTAATGTGCATCATTCAGTCAATGTCACAATGTCTGCCATTGTCCCAGAGCTACTTGTACAGAACAAGAATGATTTGGTCATTTTTAAAAGATCTCTTCCTGATTTCTGTTCAAATACTTTACTTTTACTGAAAAAGCTCTGAATTAAAAATAGACAAAAGCCGATAGCCTCAGTAAGTCACCCATCACTGTGTGGACTGAGAGTTGGCCGTTTTCACTAAAGACACAGAATGTCACTTGGCTTAGGTAAATGAGGTACCATTGTTTAAGATACATTAACCAGTGGTTCCCTGTTTCTACAGCAAAATATTCTGAAAAAATGTGGAAAAGAAACCCTAAATTTTAAGTGATTGAACAATTATTGATATTTTCTCATGAAAACATCTGAGATGAACAAATGTATTTTGTTAGTTGATATAATTACTACCTCCACCCTTTTAAATAGAAAAGACTCATGCCTCTGTGGTACTCTTCTTTCTGCAGTTTAGTCATGTGGCAATTTGGGGAAGCATAATAAGCTGGATCCTGTTTTTCTCAGTTTACTCTTTCTTCTGGCCCATCTTCTCTGTCGCTCCTGAAATGACAGGACAGGTTAGTCCTACCAACTGTGAGTGTCTTTATATTCCGCATGAAAATTGATCCTCACTAACAATATGAACTGATGCTAACAACTTCCAAAATTATTTAGGAAAATAAAGTTAAAAATAAGTGTAATGAGAAGAAGTTACTGATTCAACTAAATTCTGACTTACTTATAAAAAATTATTATTATTTTAAGCTATCCATATCAACCACTTTTCCCCAAAATTGTATTTCTTGTGTATATAAGCAATAGTAATGGCTGAATCATCTAAAATAACTAATATTGTAATTTTATTTCTCAAGTAATATGCTATGTGCTCAAATTATTTGTACTTGTAACACATGCATGGAATTAGGAAATTATTATTATTTAAAATGTTTAGAATAGCCATTCTTCAGTTCTCAAAATAGAATACATAGTCTAAACTTCTAAATATTTTAAACCTACATGGAAGTTATATGAAACTTCAGAGCATACTCTAAAAATGTTATGCTTTTTTATATATTTTTAAATTCTACTGTGTTTATGCCTCTTGTAGGCATAGGAATTAGACCACATTCTTATAAAGTGAATCACAGAATTCCATGATATGGGAATTATAGGTGAACTTGGCACAAACCCACTCAATTACTAAGTGAAGAAATGCGAGTCCAGATTTCACTAGCTAAATCCCTGTGTTCTTTCCACTAAACAGCCGTCCCTTTATACCCCTGTCTTTCTCTGGGGATATAGGAAATGATGACTGTACCCCCAGGCTTGGGACAGCCCAATGCCAGTACACAAGAATTATAAAGGATCTTCTTGCTTTAACCCATGACTGAATGGCTGGTATTGAAAGAGATTGAATAAAGAACTGTAAAAACTGTACAACATATAGGAAAGGAATTGTTGGAAAGCATTAGTAAGTAACAAACAGACATAATACTTAAGGGTCTATGATTCTTGGAAGAAGGGACATTTTTAACATTACACTTATTTATGTATCTATAGAGAACATTCTCAAATCGGTTGTCTCTGCTTCCACATTAAGAAATTGGAAAAATAAAATAAAAACCAAGAAGAAATAAAATAATAAAGATTGTGAAATACATGAATAGGCACTTTATCGAAGAATATAAATGAATAGCAAAAAGTAAATGAAAAGATGTTCAACACCATTATTTATTAGGTAAATACAAAATACAAATTAAAACCAAAATGAGATATCAGTATACAACTACTAGGAAGGATAAAATTATAAGAATGAATCACACAACATGTTGGTATGGATGTGGAAGCAAGAAGAATTCTTATGGACTGCTGGTAGAAATATACATTGATAAAACTGTCTTGGAAAGCTGGTTGGCAGTTTCATGCAAGTTTCACACACCTTTTGTAAGGTGGGTACCACCTTATACTAAACTCCACTCCCGGGAATTTACTCAAAGTAAATGAAAGTGTATACTAACAGAAAGGCTTGCGCATTAATTTTCATGTCAACTTTATAGTAATGGCTGAAAACTGGAAAACAACCCATATGTCCATAAATGGGTGAATGAATAATCAAATGATGGTATTTCCATACCATAGAATATTATTCAGAGATAAAAAGGAAGAAATTATTGACACATCTAACAACATTGATGAATCTCAAAATGATGATTTTGAGAGAAATAAAGTAGCCCAAGAAAGAAAGAAAAGGAAAAAGTAAGGGAGAAAGAAGAGAAAGAAGAAAGAAGAAACAAATTGTATATGTTTGGCAAGAACTGGCATTTAATCAGCAGCATAAGGGAAGTTATGGGTGTGGTAGATATGTTCTTGATTGGGATAATGATTTCAAGGATATTTGCTATAGTTTTTTTAAATTCTTCTTTCTGTATAACATTATGGTATATTTTGACATAATCACAAATGCATGGAATATAATTTTCTTTAATTCACTCCACAGAACATCCCCCTTTCTCCTCTCTCCTTCCTCCTGTTCCTTTCCCTCTTCTCCACTGATCTTTCTGTAATTTATTTTTTTTTTAAAGAGAGAGAGAGAGTTTTTTAATATTAGTTTCCGGTAGACAAAAACACCTTCATTTTTTATTTTTATGTGGTGCTGAGGATCGACCCCAGCGCCCCGTGCATGCCAGGCGAGCGTACTACCACTTAAGCCACATCCCCAGCCCTTGTAATTTATATGTAGATTTTTTTAAAGTTACTGTCTTGAGGACATACTTGATGCTGGGATTCACTATTCTATGTTCATATATGTACATATGAACGTTTGGTCAGATTCATTCCACTGTTCTTCCTTTTCCCCCCCTTCCTCCATCCTCTTTTTCTACTCCACTGATCTTTATTTTGATGAAATTCCCTCTCCTTTTTTTTACTTTCTCTCTTTCTTTCCCCTCCCCCACCCCACTAACCCTTTATTTAAAATTAGTTTTCACATATCAGAACCTTTGACTTTATGGGACTGGCTCATTTCACTTAGCATGATAGTCTCCAGTTCCATCTATTTAGCAGAAAATGCCATGATTTCATTCTTATTTATGGATGAGCAATATTCCATTGTGTATATATACCATATTTTGTTCATCATTCACCTGTTGAAGGGCACCTAGATTGGTTCCATAGTTTGGCTACTGTGGATTGTGCTGCTATAAAGATTGATGTGGCTGTGTCACTGAAACAGGCTGATTTTAAGCCTTTTGGGTATATATTGAGGAGTGGGATAACTAGGTCATATAGTGGTTCTATTCCTATAATAGAACCTTCCCCCCACATCCTCACCAACATCATTATTTGTCTTCTTGATAATTGTCTTTCTGTCTGGAGTAATATGAAATTTCAATGTAGTTTTAATTTGCATTTCTCTAGTTGCTAGAGATGTTGAACAATTTTTTATATTTTTGTCTGCAATTTGTGTTTCTTCTTTTGAGAAGTATCTGTTTAGTTTAGTTTGGTTTTGGTTTTGGTTTTAACTTTTTTGAGTTCTTTGTATATCCAGGATATTAATACCCTTATCTGAGAAGCAGGTGGCAAAGATCTTCTCCCATGTTCTCATACTCTTGTTTCCTTTACTTGTGTGGAAATTTTTAAATTTGATGCCATCCCATTTATCGCTTTTTTATTTTATTTCTTTCACTTTAGGAATTGTGTTAAGGAGGTCGGTTCCTGTGCCAAAATGTAATGGCAGGGTTTATGTTCTAATTCCTAGAATTTTCTTTTTTCTTTTTCTTTCTTTTCTTTTTTTTTTTTTTTTTTTTTTTTTTTTTTTTTGTACTAAGAATTGAACTCAGGGGCACTTGAACACTGAGCCACATCCCCAGCCCTATTTTGTATTTTATTTAGAGACAGGGTCTCAATAAGTTGCTTAGCACTTTGCTTTTGATAAGGCTGGCTTTGAACTTGCAATCCTCCAGTCTCAGCCTCCTGAGCAATTGGGATTGCAGGCATGTACCACCACGCCCGGCTAATTCCTAGATTTTTGAACCACTTTGAGTTGAGTTTTATGTAGAGTGAGAGACAGGGATCATATTTAATTCTTCTACATATGGATTTCCAGTTTTCCCAAGGCCATTTATTAAAAATGTAAACATACATTTCTCTTTGTTTGGTATTAGATAACTGTATTTATGTGAGTTTGTCTCTGTTTCTTCTATTCTATTCCAGTGGTCTTCTTATCTGTTTTGGTGCCAGTACCATGCTGTTTTTGTTATTATAACTCTTTAGTATATTTTGAGGTCTGGTATGGTGATGCCTCTAGCTTTGCTCTTTTTGCTAATGATTGCTTTGGCTATCATTTTCCCAATGAATTTCAGAACTGCTTTTTCTATTTCTGTGAATAATGTCATTGGAATGTTGATGGTAATTGCATTGAATCTATATAGAATTTGTGGTAGTATGGACATTTTGACATTGTTAGGTCTGCCTCTCCAACAACATGGGAGGTCTTTCCATCTTCTAAGGTTTTCTTCAATTTCTTTCTTTAGAATTCTATCATTTCATTGTAGATATCCTTTACCTCCTTTGTTAGAGTATATTCTTGAGACTATTATGAATGGAATAGTTTTCCTAATTTATTTTTTCAGGAGATTCTTTATTGGAATATAGGAACACAATTGATTTGAGTGCTTATCTCGTACCCTCCTACTTTGGTGAAGAATTTTAGAAGTCTTCTAGTGAAGTTTTTTGCATCTTCTAAATATAGAATCCTGCCATTAACAAACAGAGATAATTTGAGCTCTTCTTTTCCTATTTTTATCCCTTTAATTTCCTTCTCTTACCTAAATATTTTCACCTAAATCATTAAAATTTGGTTTTTGCCTTTATCACTTTATCACTTTTTGCAAAAGTCATAATGAATCATTTACAATCAAATCCAGTGATAACTGGATCTCTCAGCTTGAGTTTCTCCTTTCTCACTTCCACACTGCCCGAGCCCTGTTTCTTAGGATTTTTGATATTCCTCATGACTCATCCAATCCTCTGACTAGTCCTTATCAGACTCAAAGACAGAGCAGAAACTTGAGGTGACATTGACTGTCCAGGGTGGGTTAAATACTGATATAAGACTGGGAGATAGAACACTCTATTTTAACAATCTCATTGGGATAGGATGTACTGTTTGGGGGGCCTATTGGGGTTGTGAAAGAAAGACTCTGCAGTAATTCAAGAGCCACAAAGCGTTGCCCCTTCTTGAAAGAAGACAAGAAAATTTCAAGACAAAAAGTGATAATATTTGTCATCTGTTTGATTCCTGGGCTCTAAGTCTTTACAAGAAAAAGATACCTTCCTCCCAGGTGAAGAATCCCAAACCAATACAATCATATAAAAATTCATGAGGTTTTGGGGAAAATGTCTTGAATTCCTCCCAAAAAATAATTATTAAGCCATTTACAATGTATTATACTTTTCCAGATACAATATACTCCTACAAAAGAAAAATTACCCTACTGAAGACATAAGGATTCTTTAAAGAGTCAGATTATAGCACAGTAGATTAAGGATGAGAAATTAAAATGCCATCTGAAAATGATAATTAAAATAATTTAAAAGAAAAATATGCAAATTTTAAAAGACATTGAAGGAGAAAATACAGATACATTTGATAAAGAACCAAAAAGAAGTTATTTAAAGAAAAATATCTAATCAACTGGTATTATCTGGCTGAATCATTTCTAATTGGGAAAATTGTAGTATGAAATGCATATATTAAAAGAAAGCCTGAAAAAAAAATCAACTTAAGCTTCCAACTCCAAAAGCTAGAAAAAGAATCAAACCTCCAGCCAGGTGTGGTGGCACACACGTATAATCCCAGTGGCTCAGGAGACTAAGGAGGATCGCAAGTTCAAAACCAGTCTCAGCAACAGTGAGGTGCTAAGCGACTCAGTGAGACCCTGTCTCTAATAAAATACAAAAAAGGGTTGGGGATGTGGCTCAGTGGTTGAGTGCCCCTGAGCTCAATCCCTGGATCAAAAAAAAAAAAAAAAAAAAGAATCAAACCTCAGAAAATTAAAAACAGGAAATAAAAACAAGAGATCAATGAATAGGAAACCAATGAATCAGAATCAGCAAAGACCAGATTTGATGCTTTGAAAAGATTCATAAAATTGATGACCCTCTAAACAAGGCTCTTAAGAAAGAATAAGAGAAAACACCATTACCAATGGTCAGTGTATCAATGTCAGTATACCTGACTGCTGGCCCTAGCTCCTGTCCCTCTGCAGTCACACCATGTTCATGTCAAGGCCAGCATCCCCACAGGATGTTCCCAGGCAATGACTGAGACATGGGGATATTAAGATGGGTCTCCTTGGTGACTCTGTCCCTATCAGGCTAACTAAACATTTCTTGACACTGCTAAAATCCCAGGTTCTCCTTCTCTACCTTCTCCTAGCCTCTCTCCTTCCATAGATGTCCGTCTGGCAATATGGTCTGAAGGCCTTCTCTGCCAATGAAAATCCTGTTGCTGTAAACCTGTCATGGTGTCTTTCTCTTGGTTAAACCAAATTAACACAAATGTCGCAAATGTGTTAAGAGGATTTTATGAACAACTCTACATAACAATAAATATAAATTGAAAAAATCCACAAGAAATACCAAATACCAAATCTGATAGAACCACAGACCCTGAAGATGTTCTGACAGATGATTGGGAGACCTCAGGCACTCAGCCTCCCCTTCTGTCCATTTGGCAAATACTGGGACAGTATAAGGTAGGAAACTAACACGGGAGAATAACAGAGTACTGAGAAAAATCAGGAGACAAATATTAGAGACTGAGACTTGTTAGGAGTGTAAAGTTAAAGAACACAGCAGGTACTCAGTGGAAAAAAAAAAAAAACCTTGGCAAGGGTCAAAGGCAAAGGAGGAATAGAGAGAGCCTCACTGAGTCTCAACTCACATGGTCTCTAATTAAGTAACATAATCAGTCAACAACCAATTAATGTGCTAGGCAAAAGGAAGAGTGAATTCTCTCAGGGAATACAATGGCAAAATTGCTTTACATATAACAGAGCAGTTAAAGTTATATTGCTTAGTAAGATAATACTGACCTATCCTCGAATTCCTGGGATAGAAACCTACTTGGTCAAAATATTTATTTGATTGCTTGTTTTTAGAATACATTGAATTAATTTTGTTAATACCATCTTTAGTTTTTACACATCTGTGTTGATTTAGCGGTTCTCAGTTTCATACAACTGCCTCCATATCTTTTCTGGCATTGCCAGTTGTGGTGGAGGGGAGGAAATGGATAGCTGTACAGGCACTCAATGTTGACAAAGGCAAAGATTTTTTAACCCATTGTTTATTTCTGTTTCTTTGCAGATAAATATGGTTCTGAGTTGTCCTCACTTCTGGATGGGTTTTTTGTTAGTCCCTACAACCTGCCTGATTCAGAATTTTTTCTGGAAATTGTAAGTTGAAAAAAGAAGTAGTAGCCCAAAAGTTTATTGGCATACTCAACTGCCCTTTTCCAATTGAGTATATGTCTTTCAAACCACACTGAGGATCCCTTTATGCATATGAATGTCACAAGGCTTTTAAGAAAGAAATTGTCTTCTGCTTTCTTGCCAGTGGAGATTTACTGGCCATCAACTTAAATGGGAAAAACATGGGAAGGAAAGTGCACAAGAGGGAATATGAAATTTGTGGTGATATCACCACACTCATGATTTTTTTCCAAACACTGACCCATTTCTTTACTCTTTTGAAGTGTGACTTCAATTTTATCTAATTTATTAGAGTCAAAACCAAATCAGAGGATCACAGATTAAAAACTAAAAGTAATAGTAAGAGGTAAATACTCAATGGAAAAACATTCTTTACTTTGAAAAAAATGGAGTAAAACCCTCTCAAATATAGTTTTCCAAAAATATTTAAATGTTGGTTTAGAGTTTCTCAATTTATTTCAACCAAGTCCATTAAGGGCTGGGGTGGCAGAGGTGGAAGGAACTTTAAACTATATATAATCCCTAATATTAAGGTAAATGATTTATGGAATTACACAGCTTTAAAACAGAAACTTTATAATATGGATTATTACACATATTCTGTAACATGAACAACAAAATTCTAAAACAAATTTCAAACTCATTAACGAACAGAGAAAGGCATATACTGAATGGGATAATATTAATTTTGTTTTTTAAGGTTTAATTCTTCCTTAATTTCTCTATGTATCAGAAAATACAGAATTATTTGTGGAGCCCAAAGTGGAGAACTGAATCTTTCCCAGCATTGCCAGAAAATACATACCATGTTTTCTTCCCTCTCTCCTTCTCCCTCTCCCTTCTACTTGCCTTGCTCTCCGCTCCTTCCCACCCTTCTTCTCTCACTGTGTATCCATATATTATCTCTTCATTCATTCCACCTTCAAAAAGGATTATCTTGTCTGAGAGTCTTAAGAAACCTTTTGAAGAACTCCCTTTATATTTGTATTAACCAAAGTTCACTATGGGAATGGGGCAAAGGTACTGATACATTGGTATTATCCTGAAAGTGGACATGAGGTTTCAGGGGCAGCAATGGACACTCATTACTTACCCATAGCAGTAGCCACATTAGTTCCCCTGGCCCTGATTTTCACCCTTCTGGGTGATGTAGTGAGGAGTGGGTGGAATAGCCTGAAAGTACCAAGTTCATACCATCGAGAGAAAGCCAAAAATAGGAACCTGGGAGTTTGTGTTGGAGAGGGGCATCCATCCTCCAGCCCCTCGAGAGAGAGGAGGGAAACTTTGCTCCTTAATATCAACAAATTCTCCTTGAAAGACAACAGGGAAAGACTGTGGGTCCTAACCCCTTGAATGTAAATACAAGTCTTCAGGGATGAGAACAAAACAAAGGTCTGTGGATTTACAATTCCTGGAATATCTCCGTGGCCCAAGTCTCATCCCTTTTTTGAAATATAAACATTTTGACAAACTTTGTCATGTGAAGAGGTAAAGTTTCTAATTTAATGAACAGTTATGGGCCCTTCTTTGTATTAATAGATTTGTGATCTTGTTTATTAAAAATAATCACAAGGTGGCACATGTCTGTAATCTCAATGACTTGGAAGGTTGAGGCAGGAGGATCACAAGTTCCAGGCCAGCCCTCATCAACTTAGACAGATCCTAAGCAACTCAGCAAGACCCTATCCCAAAATTAAAAGGGCTGGGATGTGGCTCAATGGTAAAGTGTCCCTGGGTTCAATCCCCAGTATCAAAATAAATAACCACAAACTACCTAGAGCTGGGATAAGCACTTACCTCTCATGCTTCAGCCCAAATAAATCATTTCCCTTTATTCAGACACATTCAATCTAGGTGCTAAATAATTCATCACCTGAAGGTATTTGGTATTTACTCAATACCAAAGTGTTCCTGGAAGCAGAGCTAGAATGCTGGAGAGGTAGAGTGTATATGGAACTAGAATATGCAGAAGACTCACAAGTTAAAATAAGCATTAGTCTAAAGTGTCTTCTTTTTCTGGGAAGAGAAAGCTTACTGTTAAGAACTTGACCCAGGGCAATTTTAATGTCCAGTTAAAATTTAACTTTGGAAAACATGCGGTATTTCCTGTCTCCTTACCTGCATCTTACCTGAAAACTTTTTAATTTGATTCCCAGAAATAATTGGTGAGGAACAAAGTAAACAAAGTAATTGATTAGGTGCTAGATGCTATCATTTAGACAATGACGAATGAATCAAGTATTGATTAACTTCAAATACACACACACATACACAAAAAGACAAAATAAGCATATCATTGTCAATCTTGAAACATGAGTTTTTGAATCTTGGAACATTTCGAAGCTATGTTTACCTTTTTAGAATCATTCAATTCTACACATTGTAGTATTGCCATTATAAATATATCCTTAAAAAATATTATTGAGGAGACATTTTCTTAAAGAAATGTTGTTTTCTTGTTAGTCAAGGCCACAAATGCCTATTTATTTGGTAATATTGATGAAATATAATTTCAGTGGAGAGAAAAAGGAAGCATTACTGTTGAAAATGAGCAGTATTTCAGCAATTAAGAAATGCCCAAGTGCTTGAAACACACCTCTCCCCATCTAGAGCCCAGCCCAAGAGATCACAGAAGGAAAGCTGGTTGCTGAGGAGGTGGTACAATGGAGAGGCCTTGAAAAAGCAAGATGCTTGTGCTGAAAGTGAAAGGCTAAAAAATACGTAGGTCAGACATTGTTCTTTCTGTTTGAGATGAGATTTCAGACTCTGCCTCTCAGGAACTGCTGAGAGAACTATCATCCTATTATTCTTTTCCACAGAATAAAGAACCAAATGATAGAGGCCTTATATATTTACGCTAGTTATCATTGTGAATAGTCTCCCAACTGCTGCGCAGGGGTGCAGCTTCTTGCAATCTGAAGACAGCCTGATGGCTGGAGGTATACCTATCATCTGAGAGGTCCTTCCTGAACAGCATATAGAAATGCAGACTTTTTCTCTGAAACCTGGTAATCTGGCCTACTGAAACAAACTGATAATAGGCAGATTAAGACAAGGTAAGGTCCACAGACTTATTAACGTGTGCACATATTCATATGAGCCGTACAAAATATGAAGTTCAAAGAAGGGCTGGATGGTTGACACTTAAAACAATGCCCTTCTTAGAAAAGAGGTCAGTGGTGTGCTGTAGGGAATTTTAGAGGGTCAATAAATTGTTTTTAAGGAAGAAAATGAGCCTAGAGAATAGACAGAGACCTGGGACAAAGTTCCTTCGACTCTGGGTGTGGTGCTTGATTTTCAGTCTCTTCCTTTGTGCTATGAGCTTTAATTCTCCTTGGTTAATGACATCTCGGTAGGAAGATATGAAGGCAATTTTGTTTCTTATTGGCAGATCTCATCTTTAGGTGCAGAAGGGAACTTGGGAGAAAGCCCTTCTTGGTTTGCTGCTCAATTTGATATCTAAAATGATATATTTTGGGGTGCTGCTTTCTGAGCCACAATAGCCAATTTTCAAGTCAGCTATTTATATGATTTACCATGAGAGGTGGTTCTGAGTTTGGGAAGTGTCAAATACACATGATAATGGAAACTAATGTGGTTCAATGTTATTTTAATATCTTTTTCATATGAAATGATACACTTTAAAATCTGATATTAATGTAGAACTCTACAAATTAAATGAAAGCACTTTATCACATAAAAAACTCTTAACTCAGAAAATATATATAAAGTGTGTGTTAAGAAATTTCATTCCACATAGTGTTGTCTATCTATTTTTCTTGCATAAAGCCTGTAATTTGGTTCTTTATTCTGTGGAAAAGAATAAATGAAATATACCCCATTTGATAGAGTCCATTCCAAGGTATTAGAAGATGTCCATATTTTCCCTCCATAACCCAGAGTCACTCATTTTAGATACACAGCAAATATATTCTGTGCCTTACAAAAGCTCTCCTTTGTTGTTATTGTCCTTTCTTTAGGTTGTGATGGCCAAAAATGTCCTTAGATAAACATAATAAGTAGAGCTCTTTCACAATGAATAGCCATGAACTTTAACATGGTCTTACATCCCTTTTCCAAAACCTAAGCCACATTTTGTTAAATATTTTTCCTTCCTTGCTTTGCTATTTCTCATAAGTAATTCCCAGGCAAGTCTTAATAATAGATAAGCCCTTGGGGTCAATTGTGAGAGGAGCATGGAAGAGTATCTATATGTTTATATTTTATTCATTATTTTACTTTGATAGAAAGGAATACAAAAGATAAATAAAATGAGAGCAGAGTGACATAGGCTTTGGAGTCAGAATATTAGGGAAATTATTGTTTTGGGAGGGAGAGATGAATGATAGCTTCATTTTCTAAGGAGTGTCTTAGAAAATTCCTTAAATGGAAGCACACCTCTTAGATACACAGCAAACAGCGTTTTTCCTCAGGTATACATTAGCATTTAGGTTTGTTAATTTTTTGCATAATGTTATCTTGTTAAGTCTGGTATCACATTTTTTAACTTTTTTGTACCAAAACTTGACCATTGACCTCTAATTTCTCCAAATCCATCAGTCCTCTTTTTTCTTCCCATCCTTTCCCATGTTGGCCAGACCAAAATTTATAAGCCACCAAGTTTTACTGATATCCTAAAGTCTCTTGCACTTTCTCGTGAAACTTGGTTGGAGGTAAAGAAAGCCATGGCTGATACAGTGGCTCGTGAGCTATTCCTGATAGATGCCTCTGCTGGGCTTCCTTTCAGGAACAAAACCAAATCTTTTTTTCTTTTCTTTTTTTTTTTATTGTTTTAATTGTAGTTGGACACATTACCTTTATTCCATTCATTTATTTTAATGTGTTGCTGAGGATCGAACCCAGGGCCCCGCACATGCTAAGCGAGTACTCTACTGCTGAGCCACAATACCAGCCCACAAGGCCAAATCTTTCTTTATCAGGGCCATCGATGGCCTATTTTGTGCCCATGTCTTCCATCTCCTCTAGCTACACTTTGCCACTGCTGGGCTTCTGGGTATGTTCCTTCTATCTGGAATATTCTTCCCCTCTCCCTTAGTTACTGCCTCCATCTCCTCCAGACCCCAGTTCCACTCACTTCCTCAGAGGAACTTTTACTGATATCTTTAACAACATTCTATCTCAGCCCCCAAAGAGTCACCGCACCAGCTGAGTCCCTTATCTTTTTGAGAAGACAACCTGCGCAGCCTCTGTGTGCCACCCAGACACTGTTTTTCTAGCAGCTTAGAACCATTATCGGGGGGTGCAGGGCAGAGCTGGGCAGGGTAAGTCAGCAGCCACCTTTCCTTTACGAGGAGTAGGATGATATCTAATTATAACTCACAAAGTATATTAAGAACCCATGAATGGATACATGATGAATGCCCAACTATTGACATGCCCCATTGCAAACAAGTTGACAAAGAAAGGGAAAGCATCTCTTTGAGTCACCTGTATATTTGAGATCAAATGTATTGATCTCTGCTACAGTAACTACAGAGACTTCTTCTCTGCCATTAAAAGGCTATAAAAGGCATAGCTAGCCCTAGTGTTCTTTGATTTAAGTAAGTACAGAAGACAGGACACAGCTGAATAAGAACCTGAGCATCAAGATTCTCAAGCAGTTTTCACAGCAGAAAAAGGTATAAGTAGTCACATCTCAGTCCTATGAATCTTCAGTGCTCTGTGTGCCTAATACAGGAAAGTTCTACCCTCCATAGTCAGGGTGCTTCTATAGCCTGGACATGCATCCAACAGAGCTGCAGCCTTCATGGAAAGTGAGAAGTTTGGGGACTGCCAGCTGCTAACATACACTACCCTGTGCCCCTCTGGTAATGCTTCTCAGGTGCTAGGAAACAGCCTGGTTGCACATGGAGGCTGCTGGTGTGGTGTGATACCATGTTCCTTCACATCACCAATCATCAGAGGATGCCCAGACTGCTATCTAAGAGGGCAAGGAAGAGTTTCTCAAGCAAGTAAAGCTCATATGCTATGTTCTTTTTATCTTTCCACATGCTATAGGATTAAAAATACCTACAAAAGAGGTCTTCTAGAAGAAATTCAGGAGCTGGAAAGCAGAAAAGATAGCATATTGGAACATAGTGAGATTTTTGAAAAGAGGTGAGTCTGTTCTCTTCATTATGGTTTTTGTTAAGAACACCTTCTCCTTATTCCTTCTCACATCTTTCCTTCCCAGGAATGTTCAGACTCCCCCTTACTCCCCAAGTTCATTAAGTACATGCCAAACAGCATTTTGACCTGCACGTGCCCTGCAGCACAGTCCCTGTTTCCCTGCACACGAGGACACAGGACACAGGAGTATGCACATTTATGTCAATCAGAGCAATGGCTTTCCATTGAGGTTTTGACTGGAAAATTTCAAGGAGATTTCAGATATACAGGAAATTTATTTGGAAATTTGGAAAATAGGTATACAGTAAATACCTTTGTCAAAACTCATGACACTGAACTATGAAGTTTAACATAGAGGAAACAGACCTGAGTGGGAAAAAATATATAAACACAGCATAAATGTGCAAAAATAAAGATTTCATAGCAAAGGGTTAATCTCTCAAATGAGAAAAGTGAAAATTTGGGATATTTCCAGAAATCAGAAAAAAAAAAAAGTTGAAAAAGCCCACCAAGCAATAGAAAAACAGGTAAAATATAATAAACAGTTCATAGAGAAAGAAATATAATGGTCCTCAAACATATGAATGTATACTCAACTTCATAAGATATTAAAACTGTTCTTCATTTATCAGAATTTCTTACCTTTGGTTGGTGATGACATGGGAAAAGAAAGATTTAGAGCAGTTAATCTGGCAAAAATTATTAGAAATACAAATGCATTTAGCCTGGACTCAGCGATTCCATTTCTGGGAATTTACCCCTCTTCTTTGCCCTAGAAATACCTGCAGATATCTCAAGTACTTGGGTAATATTTGGAATAGCAAATATTTCAGACAATAATACCTTGTGATACATCTATACACTGTGATGGAAATGTCCCTGAGATATATTAAAAGGGATAATCAATACAGAACACTGTGTACAATATGCAAATTCTATGTAAAGGACATAGATAACCAAAATACATAATCATACTAGGCACCATTGTGTATGCCTGTGATCCCACTGGCTCAGGAAGCTGAGGCAGGGGGACCACAAGTTCAAAGCCAACTTTAGCAATTTAGAGAGACCCTAAGCAACTTAAGCAAGACCCTATCTCAAAATAAAATATAGAAAGGGCTAGGGATATGATTCAGTGGTTAAGTGTCCCTGGGTTCAATCTCTGGTACAAAAAAAACATAATCACTCTCACTGATAAAGCACCTCTGCAAAATTACCCAAGAAACTAATAATAGGGATTTACCAGGAAGGAATGAAATGATGAACAAGGCAGGGAGCAGGAGAGGGGCCTTTATTTACTTTCTTTTTAGATATTTATAATGATGTACCTATTTCACTATGACAAAGAAAGAAGGAAAAGAGGATATATAAATGGTAAACATATAACAGAGGCTTAGAGATGCTGCCTTTTTAAAGAAGTCCTGACAGGGACTTTAACTGCCAGCTTTTACAATGTCCTGTTCCAGACCTCTGGAGCAGCACCTGTAAGTCTCCAGTCATTGCCCTACACCTTCCAGAACAAAGAAACTGGCAGGCAGATCCCCCCATGATAAGGCTGCCTCCCCAGGAGGAGCAGTCATCTCAGGGTACCTCAATTACCCACTTCTAGGATCACAGGTCTGAAAAATAAATACCCTGCAAAGCAAATGGGAAGTGTTTTCTCAAGTAATAATAAGGACTTCTCCAGAGTAACCTCACACAGAACCAGAACTGAGATAATGAACAGCCAGACCAGTGTGACCAAGGCTGCTCAATTATGCACACCTCTTGCCCCCGCCCCAATTCTTTCTCTATTTAAATCTAAAGCTCATGTCAATACACTTGATCTCACTTGTCTTTTCAATATGACTATTTTGATTAAAGTTCCTTTCCTGCTTCTCATCATTACTTTTTCCATTTGTTTGTTTGTTTGTTTGTTTGTTTTTGCGGGGGCGGGGGGGTAACAAGTGGCCAGAACTGATTTGGTGGGATCCTCAGAGTTGGGTCTCTGGCCTGGGACTATAGTACAAAGGGATTTCGGAAAGCCCAGGAGCAAATGCTTCTGGGTATAGAGCAAAATTTAGAATCATTATCTGATTGTCTTAATTACTTTGGAGCATTTCAACCTCTTTCTTAAGTTTGTCATGGTGAAATAGGTGCATCATTATAAATACCTAAAAAGAAAGTAAATAAAGGCCACTCTCTTGCTACCTGCCTAGTTCAACCATTCTCTCTCCTCTTTAGACAGTCCCTAGAAACCCTCCTCTGAGCTGGAAGGGCCGATTCCCATCTTGGCAGGAGGCAGGGGTTCCTGATTCTCAGTGGTCAGCCTTAGGAACAGAACTGGAGTCACATAGGGAAACTGGACACCACGTGTAAACATGTTGTTGTGGTTGATGAAAGCCGCTGTCACTTGTTGTACAAACTTAAAACCCCTCAACTGGAGATATCAATGCACACAGTAAATCCAACATAGTAGAAGACTCTTGTGGTTTGTTAATATCCAGTATATAGGAAAACAATGTAGGCTTGACCATATGGGTATTTTAACCTCATCTTTCAACTCTAGGAAAAAAATTAAATAAATAAATAAATAAAGCATAAACTATATTAATAATGCTCCTTAGAGGGGGAAAATTCATAAAGTGATCCCACCTTTTGGAACTTAGAAAGTCCTACCCTTGGATTTTTCACTGTTGGTCCCATAACAAGTTTTGGGGGCTAAAGAAGAAGGTCTCCCTCATGTTTATGCCAATGCTTTCTACCACTGCCAAGAGTTTTGAACTAAACTCATTTATTATTCTTCTTTGCCATGAAGAAAGGAAGTTGAGACAAATGTTGTTAAGGTACACCTCATGTATCTCTAAGGTGCTCTGACAAACCAGAGGAATGCAGAACACTTAGGGTTCAATTCAACTATTTGGAAAGGACAGTTAGGAGAGTTTTATCTAAGAAATGCTCTCAGCAGAACACTATTTTAGAAATAGCATCTTGCTGAGTGTGTGTAGATAATACCATTTTATTTTAGATACATAACCAAAATGTGGAATAGTTTCTTACTTTCACTTACAACTTGATCTTTCCCAGTCAATGCCTTTGAGACCTGTTCTAATGAATTAATGCCAGGCTGTGTTTGATTTACTCCCAGGATGACAGCAGCAAGTCTTGCAGTGTCCTTTAGTACACAGCCCTGTGAGATTTTCTTCCGGGATGATTCTGTTGATCTAAGTGCCCCACGTAAGTAACTCACCGTAAAATGGATCATGGTGCTGAAACTGTCTGTCCGCGAGGGGGGTGAGGAATTAAAAGTCAGGTCATTCTACTTGAGGACATTGTGCTATGTGAAATAAGCATAATACAAAAGGCCAAAATGCTGTATGAATTCCCTTATGAGGCACCTTGAATCATCAAATTCATAGAGACAGAAAGTAGAATGAAGGCTGTCAGGGACTGATGAGCGGGAATGGGGAGTCAGTGCCTAACAGGCACAGAGTTTCAAAGTGAAAATAGTTCTGGGGAAAGATGGTAATGATGGCTTACAGCAATGTGAATGGACATAATGCCACAGAACTATGCATTTAGGAATGGTTAAGATGGTAAACTTTATGTTTCTGTATTTATCACAATTATAAGAAATAAATGGAAACTGCCTGTATTATTATCTTTTTTTTTTCAAAGATAGTTCTTACAGGAAAAGAGAGCTCAATTGGATTTCAGAAGTTAATGTGTTTAGCCTAAGTCATGAGCAAGTTAAAGAAAGATTATTCCAGATCTCTTGTTCCTAAAACATAAAATCCTTAAATGTAAATCCTAAAGTTTTCAAGATTCTCCAACAGATTCCCATTATACCATTTTAAAGATAAAACTGGTGGTAGTGCCTAATAATTTTTACCCAAAGAAACTTTACATACTCTTCAAAGTTAACACAGCTCCATTAGGCAGGAAAAAAACTTTGAAGTTATTTCACTTCCCCTTCTCTTAATAAGAAATCCATCTAAAGTTGCCTGAATGGAAGATTTGGATCCTATGTGACCTTCATTTGGCAATATTAATGCTGAGTACTATATTGGGAACAAAAACAAATCAAACAAAAGTGACAAGGAGGAAACAAGTTGTGATATTTGTTGAGAATGAGACCCAATTGCCTTTTTTTGGACAAAGGCATTCACTGAAATTTTAAAATTCTAGGTTCTCTTATTGTATTTTTTAAAAATTTCTATTGTTTGCCTCTTGGATGATTCAAGCTCACACATGCTCACACACTACTTCTTCAGCCTATCCCATGCCCACCCTTTTGCTTTCCTGCCTCTCACTAGAGATCTAGGGGGGAAAGAAGCTGAGCAATAATGGGACATAGAAATGAACATATACCATATATAAGAAAACATATACCAGAGTAGACATTTTAAGGACTGGAGTTAATGTCTCTCCCATCTTCATTCCCAACTGAGGACCTTGATTTCTGCATAGGATGAGAAGTGGTCTTCCCTGGGCTCTCACTACACCTTACTTGCCAGTTGTATCCATCCGCCTGGTTGGCCATCCCATCTGTTTCCACAGATTCTCACCAGCACACACAGTAGATTTTCCTATAAAGTAGAATATTCTCTTTGCCACATGTTAACCATTGGCTTTGGTTTCATTTCATGGCATTCCACCACAACAACAGCTTTTGGTAAAAATGATCTGTAGCCATTGCATCAAATTTCTCTTCTCTCTTTCTCTCTGACACCCATTCTGCTCAGAATTTCATTCCTGCCACTCAACTGGTAGTGCTCTGGTTGAGGCCACCACCACTGAACCTTTTGTAGTCCATTCTCACTCCTCAAGCTGAAAAGAAGCCAGTGGTACCCTGGGCCGCTTGGCCCTCCTTGGACTATTTCTTTACATGGTTTACTTTGGTTTCCTCCTACCTTGTAGGATACTCCTTTCTGTAGTGACTGGTTTCTTCCTTTTTCCTCTAGTCTCTAAATATTTGGATGTTCCACGGTTCAGTTCTTAAGTTTTTCTCTGTCTATATTCACTCAACTGAAGATCTAATCTCATCTCAGGATTTAAATTCCATCTCTATGTTGATAACTCCCAAACTTGTATGTCCAGTACATATCTTTCCCCCCAATACCAAATTCAAATATCCAACTATCCATTCAATATACCCATTTGGTTATCTAATAAATATTTCAAACTTCACATGTCTAAACTGAACTCCTGGTTTCCTCTTCCACCAAGATTGTTCCATCTAAGATCTGCCCATCTCAGTCGATGGTCACTTCACACTTCCAGTTGCTCAGGCCAAAACCCTTGATGCCATTTTCAGTTTTTCTTTTTCTCTCATAGATGGCTGACTCCATTACTCTGGGTCCAAAGTGAGGCAGCACGTAAGGCAGAAGGGCCCCGTGGAGGGAAGCTGCTCATCTTATGGTGGGGTCAGGAAACAGAGAGAGAAGGGGAAATGGGCCGTAGGGAAAGCGAACCCTTTCAGGTCATGTCCTCAGTGACCCCCGTCCTCCAGCCAAGCCCCCACCTGCCTACAGTGACTACCCGGTCTGTTTGAACTAGGATGGACTGATCATGTCACAGCTCCCACAGTCCAATCACTTCACCTCTGAACATTTCTGCTTTAACACAGGAGCTTTTGGGTGACACCTCATCTCCAGACCCTAACAAAGTCCAAATCCTTAAAATGATCAACAGAGATTTACTTGATTTGGGCCCTGTTACTTTCCTGGTGGTTATCATCACCTTTTCTTCTTCCTCCCTCATGCACTCTGGCCTTTGTATTCTTCTTGTGGCATACCAGGTATACTCCTGCTCGAGAGCCTGGGCACTAGCTATTCCCTGTGCCTCCACTGCTAATCCCTTGTATACCTACACACTCACCCCTTCACATTCTTCAAGTCTTTGCCTAAATATTACCTTCTCAATGAAGCCTACCCTGACCACTCTATGCCACCCAACCTGACCATGTTTCCAGTTTATCTTCTGTTTAGTTAATAGCTCTTTATTGCCCTTTTGGGTACTACATGATTGACTTTTTTTTTATTATGTCCTGGCTTATTATCTGTCTTTATTGACAAAATGTAAGCTTCATGAGAGCAAGAATCTTTGTTTACTTCACTGGTTTACTCCAAGCAAGCAGAAGAACACCTGGTACGCAGTAGATGCTTAACAAAAGTTTTGTTGAATAAATGAAATAATTTATTAATTAATAGGTCAAGCTGAATTATACATGCTAAAAGAAACCCATTCCATCTCTCTCTCTCTCCAATGTAAACTATAAATATGGTAAAGTGGAATTAATACTTACTAAGCACTTACTGTGCACTTGGCCTTCTGTTGAACACTTGGCCATTGCACTACATCTTTGGAACCACTATGTAAAGGTGATTGTCAGATACTTGTTGAATGACAAAATAACTAACTGAAACTGCAAGGTTAAGTCATTGGCCCTAGATTCTAAAACTAGCAACTGGTAGAATTCAGAGTGGAATATATTAAATTCTAAAGCTGAGACGTGGAAATCATATAGATGTTCTGCCACTCAGCTGGCCATGGGATGTTAGGCAAGTTAATTATCATCTCTGAGCTTCCCTGTCTCTGTCCTTTTGGTATTCTATGCTATTAGGATCACTAGAGGTGGCATGGAATGAAAGAGGCTGTAGATACCTGGATTCAAATAGACAAATAAATGCTTTATCCAAGAATCATACAGTCCTAAATCCACTACAAAACTTTTTATAATATCAAGAATGTGAAAGACCTCAAAATATCACTGAATGCATATGAGAAACAGAATATATGTATTCTGTTCCTTTTAAAGAAGCATTCATTATAAAAAATAATTTTAGGACTCATTATTTTTTAATATTAAAATAGAAAATACTATTGGAAGGTTAGACATTTCTTTTAAGACTACAAGAGATTCTAAGATGTTTCCTCTACCCACATTGTCACTTACTGCTTGCGGTGAAGACTTTCAGCCAATTTGTGTTTTTTTAGGTCTTGTATATTTTTCTGCTGAATACCAAAATAATAACTTGAATTGTGCAGTGTTCTCAGCAATTCAAATAAGAAACAGAAGGGGAAACTTTCTGTTCATTGTAATGTATCAGCTCTTTCTCAAGATAGAAAATTCTGACTTTTTTTTTGGGGGGGGGGGGTAACCAGGAATTTGAATCCAGGGATGCTTAATTACTGAGCCACATCCCCAGCCCTATTTTTAAATATTTTATTTAGAGACAGGGTCTCGCTGAGTTGCTTAGGGCCTCCCTAAATTGCTGAAGCTGATTTTGAATTCACGATACTCCTGCCTCAACCTCCCAAACTGCTGGGATTACATGGTGCCCAGCTCAAATTCTGACCTTTTTTTAAAAAAAATTTTTTAGACTCCCAAATTTATAATAAAGTGAATTAAATGAGACAATTATATCAAAATAATGAAAAATGGCATGGTTAATAATGAAATCTGCTAAATGTTTTACCAGGTTAAAGAATGAAATCATTTGAAAATTCCCTCGTCTTTCTCTTCTGCCCTTCCTCCTTTTCATTCCTTCCCCAGATTCTGTCAGCGGCTCTTTAGGAATACAGCCAGGGAAAGTTCAGGAGCTGGGCCTTGCACTACTTCCTCCAGGTCCCCATCTTGACTTTCTGGCAGTCAAGGCTTTTTTTCTTAAAAGATGAATGAAAGTGGGGAATGCAAAGAGCTAGGGGCTTCCTCAGAGAACCCCCATTTGAATGCAAATGGTGGTTAAATGTTCATCAGGCAGAATCTGGTGAGCAGATCATTCCTCTCTCAGGCTGGGAAGTTGGAGATCAGTTGTCTGGGTTTCTGTTCTTCCATTCTTCACAGGGAGTGTTGGGAAAAGGAAAACCAGACCAGCTTTCTAAAGGATACATGTAGCCTCTGAATAATGGCTGATCCAGATTTAGTTGGTTTTTGGGGGGTTTTTTTGATGTTGTTGTTTTGTTTTGTTTTTTTCCAGTACTGGGTACTGTATGTCTGAACTACATCCTCAGGCCTTTTTATTTTATTTTGAGATAAGATCTTGCTAAATTGCCAAGTCTAGCCTCGAACTTGCAATTCTCCTGCCTCATTCTTCCCTGTCACTAGGATTACACAGTTAGTTGCCACTATGCCCAGCCAGATCTAGATTTGGTGAGACCAGAAATTTATATAGTTTGGGGTACCTCTTAGGAAAAATTCAAAAGTTTACTAGTTTTACTAGTTTCAAAAGTAAATACTGTATTTATTAGGAATAAGAAAGAAAGCACAATATACCATTAGCATATAAATGCTGACAAATTCCCAAACATCATTCAGAGCCTGAGCCAGGGATATGTAGCTGAAAAAAAACCTCATCAGCTCCCAGAAAGTACAATGTATGGGTACCATCTTTTGGGGGACCAAGGTGAAACCTTTTCCCTAGGCCAAATCCATCGGAAGTCCTCCAACTCCTTGAAGATCTTAGCTCGATAAATATGGCAGGAAAATTGGCCTTTCAAAAAGAGAGGTTTGGTTTATTTATTTTGAGTGGAGATACCATTTGAAATGGTCTTCCGTTAAGAGATGGGGGTTTTTTTAATCTGTCCATCCATGCATTTATGGTTAGAACATTTAAAAATAAAGAGATGGGGTATTTCCACCTGTGGTTGTTTGCAGGCCTGATTCAGCATGGGGCTTTGATTCAGAGGGAGGCTGATGAAAGCTTTGGTAACTTTTCTCAGGGTTTTCCTGCCACTTACAGGTACTGTCCTGTCTGCTTTCCAAAAGACATCCACTGATGTTTCCTCAGAACCATTCATACCATCCATGGTTATACAGGAAGTACCAGTATGGGGTTTTTTTACAACTCCAAATTTCCACCTGAAGATTATAATTGAATTTTCCTGAAATGGCAAAAGGAGAAAGAAAGGAAAGAAGGAGGGAGGGAAAACTCAGGGTTTGGGAAATATTAATACCAATATCCAACCAGAGATAGTGATTACACTGACTAAAGCAGTAGTTCTCCATGCATAGTCCTATTAAAAGACAAATTGCAAGAAATCTTAAATCTTTGCAGAATTTAGTTGACTTTATTTGAGATTCCAGAATAGTACATCAGTCAGAACCAAAAATGTTCAGAATGCCTCTTTCACCACTTGGGCAGGTTATATTTATAGCCAAAGAAAAAGAAGTGACAAACAGAAAATGGAAGTGAATCAGAGCTGCCCAATTGGTTAAAACTCTTGTCTTATTTGAACTTGGTTTGAACAGTTGGCTGCTTGAAACTGGATGAGACTTTGGTACCTGTTACAAGAATAGGTTATAGTCTGTACACATCAAGTTAGGTTGAAGTTTCCTAAGTAAGAACCTTTCAGGCAAACACAAAATGTATGGAGGCAGCTGTAGGCCAAACTTAATAGTCCTGAAGACAGCAATAGAAGTGTCCCCTGTGAAGTTCTTAGAAATGCCAGTTCCTGGTCCTCACACAGACTCACTAAATCAGACCTCTGGAGATGGAACCAGGCATCACCTGGTAAATTTTGGTATACATACAAGACAGAGAACCACTGGTGTAATGTTTAGGCAGAATACATGCAGTTTTCTTGGCTCCCTGGGTGATTCTAATATACAGAGAAGGTTGTGAGCCATTTGCCTTTCCTTGCACACAGAGGCATTTCATTTAAAATCCTGCTGATTAGTAGGTAATGTAAGTTCCATTTATAGTTTATTTTTCTTTCACAGATCATGACTTCTCACTAGTAAATCCATTGTCATTAATTAGCTACATGATAAGCATTAGATACATGTGGATAGAAATAGTGATTGCTGGGCTCCATGTCTTTTAATCTGAATGCAGTATTGTGTGACAGATCTACTGTCTACCCTATCAAGGTCAAGAGTTAAAGAAGGACAGTGATACTTGTTAGCTCTCTATATTGAGTGCCAGCTTAACTTTCAGAAATGTTTATAAGACTGGTCCTCCAAGGAATATAGTATTGATAAGTGAATCAATTCTTCTGGGAATTTCTACTAATGACATTATTTATTTAAACTTAATTAAACCACTTTGAAAACTTATTTAAATCAGCCAAATTTTAAGACAGGGATGTGTCCAGCATGATGGATTCTTTACTAAATTTAATATTAACATCATATGTTGTTTTCCAGCATGATTTTGGCTTCATCAATTACTTTTCTAGGTTTCAGTTACAAGTGTCCTCCTCAAGATTCAGACATTTGCAGGGCCTCTCCTCTTGAATGCCAATGGAAAAAGGGAATCGGGGACCCAGGAGGCCACTGTTTGGGTTGTTCAGTCTAGTCTCAGCCATGTAAGTGGCAATCACTCCTCAGCAAGTGATATAGATGGTTAAAATGGCAAGAGTGACATAGCCATGGTCAGGTCATTTCCTGTAGAATAGCAGTTGCTATGTAGGACATGATACACATCAGAAACCTTGGGAAATCTTTCAAAAGCCACACTAAGGGGGCTGGAGATGTGTCTTACTAGTACAGCACTTGCCTATCATATATGAGGTTCTGGGTTCCATCCTTAAACACACGCACACACACACACACACACACACACACACACACACACACACACACACACATCCATCCAGCCCCACTTCCAGATCAACTGTGGACCCAGAAAGGGATATTGCTTCAAGGGCTTCCTAAGTTATTCTAATACAGCTGGGTTTGCAAGCTGCTCTGTCATCAGACCCTCATCCTGTGGGTCACCTTTTTCTGTCTAATGTGGAGACTTGCTAGTCCAGTTGGAGTTTCGATCTCTGTCATCAGAATGTTCACCAGCCATTAATGTTCCTAAAGGGTTCTCTTGTCTTTGCCTTCCAGATGGGTATGCATTTTCCCAAACAGAAGGAGCAGTGGTCACTCAGGAAGAACTAGTTCGTGCTTATGACACAGCTAAAATGGAAAACTCAAGAATCTCAAAAAGAAGTTCTGATTTTTCTGAAATTTTCTAAGACCAAGATCAATGTGTTTTGTGTGCTCATAACCTTCCCTGAAGCTGACAGAGTGAATTGGCACTCCTATTCCAAACTAGAGTCTGTTATTTATTTGTTATTTATATTGACTGATTCATGGGAATAAGTAATGGGGAGGCCCTTACTTTCTTTTCTTCATTTGTCTTCAATATTTTACCCAACATGTTTATTATTTTCTGTGACTGTGAGATAATTTATCAGTTCAGCCTAAAGTATAAAATTAAACATATTACATTTTAACAAAATTTAAACTTTGTATGAGTTGGGGGTGGGGAGAGTAGAAGATGTCACGTTGCCTAGCAAAGCTATTGTGCCTAATAAATATGGAGCCATGCAGAAACTTCATATTTTGAAATCACACATTAAAGGCATGGAGCAATGCATAAAATATTTCCTGTCACTTTCATTGCATTTTATTGGTATGAATTTGCCCAAAATTTTTTATTTCAATAAATGCACACAAAGCCTCAGGCCTCAAAAATCATGTATATGAGAATCTACTAGATATTCCATTATTTTCTATGAATCATTGGGTTCGTATATAATCCTCGTTCTGATTCTCCGATCCAACAGGACTAGTAAGAAATTCAACTTCAATAATTCTTGGAGCTCTGCATTTGGCTGTACCAGTCATTCACATGGTACCAAGCTTTAGGACACACTCTGCCTTCTGTCATCAGCTCACATTGGTCATCACATAGATACAAGGTCCCTACGGGCCTGGAAGTTCTGGGAAGCTTCTGTGGTAGATATGAGGAACTGAAACCTTTAAATAGACTAGAAATCCCCATGCCCGTGGTCTTTCTCCCATGCCTGGGAAAGACATTCTGCTCTTGGAATGCATCATTTTCCTAGGGCATCTCCAAAGAATGAAGAGATATCTCACAAATCCCTTTTCTAGTCCAGGGACAGCCCTCTCTACAAGACCCTATTTTTCTTTTTAAAAGTTGTTGAAGGCTACCTCTACTTTTTTGTGTTGCCAAAATGACATCTCTCAGGAAATGAACCAAAAAGTCTGACACCTGTTTGAAGGAAAATAAAGTAATACGGAAAACCTTGGTAGAAAAAACAAAAATTCAGAAAGGGTTGGGAGTGTGGCTTAGTGGTAGAGTACTTGCCTAGTATGTGCAAGGCCATTGGTTTGTTTTTGTTTATGGAGCTGGGATCTTCTGAGAAACTGAGGCAGCATGAAGACTCCCTCTTCAAACCCTGATTCTTGCGATCAAGTCAGAAAGAGTTTAGACATGTTGCTCAGAATAACAGGAAAAGTTAATTGGAGGGATAGGAAAAGGGAAAGGGGACACTCTCAAGGAAGAGAGTGGATTCCCTCAGAGAGAAGAGGGACAATGTGCCTCTCTTGCACATCAGTTTTATCGGGGATCCCAGAGAAATTTTCAGAGAGTCCTACCCAGGTCCACCTCTTGGCTTTTGACTGACATAAAGATGACATCTCACTTTCAAGTCCCCCCTGTCATAGTAACTGTGGGTCACATTGGCCCATGTGGACTGATTCTAATTCTTACAGATTTTATGGTTGGGAGGACCTATCCTTCTCTCCCAGAGTTTCAGGATCTGGTCACAAAATACTCCTGGGTTCCTCCAATTGTTGTTATCTTGGGTCTGCTTTTCTCCTGCAGTTCACAGGTAGTTTGCTGAGGAATATAACATCCTGTCCACTTAGGCTGGGCAGGGATGCAGGTAAATTGCTTCTTGGAAAAGCAAGAATGTGGGGGTCAGTATAGTGAGCCTATTTTATAGAATTATTCTCTTAACCTCATGTTTTTACCATCTTCATCTGTCTGTTCCCTAACACACCCATAAATACATCAGAGAAGACTGGAATAATATACCTTGAGATGTTGACAATGATTATATTGGGATGCTGAAAATTTAAGCATTCTTTTTATACTTTCCATATTTCCTACATGTTAAATATGATTTCCAACTTTGGTAAGGTACTTTTATGAGTATTTCAATAGTAAGTATTTCTTCAGTGTCAGGGATTGAATCCAGGACCTCATACGTGCCAGGCAAGCATAATACACTGAGTTATGTCCTCAGCCCCACAAATCTTTTTTTTTTTTTTTTAAGGTCAAGTTGAATCTTTTGCCAGCCACCAAAAAATCACTGGACTGATGATAGTTACTGATATTGAAATTTATTTTGAGAGGCACAAATGACATACTTCCCTTTATCACTGAAAACTGGCTGGATTTGGACCCTGCTCCAATCCCCTTGCAAATTAGGAAAATAGGGGTCCCAGAAGTCTCAACTCCTTTTTAAGTGATAAGGAGGCTCCAGGAAGGAGGCAAAGCCTGTGAAACTCCTTTCAGCCTTTTGTCCTGATGCACTCCTGCCCTGCCCTGTGCAGTGGGACATGTAAATCTGCAGACGTACATGTCCCATCTTAATAATCTGCAGCTGCCTCTTCTCCCCTGCCTCCCCTCTTTAAAAGTTCTGCTAATTTTCAGATATTTCAGAAATGGAACTTTTGAAATAATAAAATTTCTTCTGTCTTCCTTCAAATCTGGCTTTTAACCCCTTCTACCAATTTGAATATTTCAGAGCAGAAAGCCTTATGGACTAGCCTCTTCCTCCCCTCCCTAGGGAGGAAACTTATGCCACTGTGGTAACAATATTTCCACATCAGTTGTCACTGATTGATCTAAAGACTTAACCAAGGATGTAATGTACCCAGATGGGTTGTTTTTCACTGAAAAAATATGTTTTCAGGAGTGGACTATTTACTCTCCATCTGTCATATTGTCAAGTTACATGCCATTATGTCACATGGCATTTAACTAGTGAGCATTTTTAGAAATGCTAAACTATTTTCTTCCCCTTCCTCCCTCCTTCCCTCCCTCCCTCCCTCCCTCCCTCCCTTCCTTCCTTCCTTCCTCCCTTCCTTCCCACCCATCTTTCTTTCTTTCATTTTTTGGTTACAGGGTGCCTAATCACTGAGCCATATCCCCAGTGGATCCCCTTTTGTAAATTTTTTATTTGAAGACAGGGTCACCCTAAGGTCACCTTAGGGCCTTGCTAAGTTGCTGAGGCTGATTTTTTTTTTTTTAGTTGTAGATAGACACAATAAATTTATTTCATTTGTGTATTATTATGTGGTGCTGGGGATCAAACTCAGTGCTGAGGCTGACTTTGAGCTTGTGATCCTCCTGCCTCAGCCTCCTGAGCACTGGGATTACAGATGTGTACCACTGTGCCATCTTGTTCAACATCTTGATTAGTGTTAGTTTTATATGAATAGTGACTTTATTTAATAGCCAGTCCTTTTATATTTTTGCAACTCACTTTTGGAAAATAGATTATTTTAGTCAAAATTTACTGAAAAGGGACCAGAATCAAGGAATCCCCAGTTACTAAACATCTTTAACTTTCCTTTTATGGACTACAAAGTTTATTGGATTTCCAAGTTGAAAAATAAGACATTGTACCCCCAACAAATTTATTTCTGAAATAGAATAATAAACCCAGAAAGGATTTTGAAAAGTCAACTCGATAACTATTTTTGTTTGTTTGCCTTTATATGAAACAATACCCAAATCTCTGAGAAAAAAAATGAGTCTTTCCTCCTCATGTGTCATTTTATATTTAGCAAGTTGTAATCTCCTTTGAAAGGACAAACAAGTAGAATATATCTTTGCCAAGTGAGGTAGGGAAGAAGCACCAGATGCTGGTTCACCTGCTCCTGCCCTTCTAAATCCATCCTGGGCACCAGCAACAGGACTCAGTAATGCCCAGGCCTCTATGTCTCTCAAGAGAGACCCACACATATTATCAATCTTTTCTGCTCATTGGATGTCCACAAGAGTGTATTCTGCCCTTAGACCCTGGAGTGAAGGGTCTGTACTCATTTCTCTGCTCCCTGGTTGTAAACCTGGGTGTTCTTACCTCCTCCAGCTGCACACTCATTTCATCCTCTGATATTTACCTAAAAAGATGCCAGAATCCACAGAAAATATGGTGGGAAATCCACCCATCCTCCTCCAATTATTGTGAGGAGTCTCAGCTCTTCCATTTCTCATTTCATCTCAGCTCCAGTTTCCTACCTGACCTAAATCCTTGATCTTTTTCATCTTGTCTCTTACCGCTATTTCCTTTTCTCCATTGTCACTTAACCTCAGCTTGGAGCACACCTTTCTTCCTTTGATTTCCTTAGACCCCACTAACACAAAACAATTATAGTAGTCAACTTTTTCTGAATATTTGAGAATAATGGGAGAGTAAGAAGGCAAATTATATTTGTACAAATGGTAAGAAGACCAGCTGTCCCATTTTGCCTAGAACCAAGGTGTTTTCTGGAATGTGAAACTTTTGTTGCTAAACCCCAAACAAACAAAAACAAACAAACAAAAACCTCTTAGGCAACCTGGAATGAGTTGGTCATCTTAAATATAGATAGCACTTAGAGTTCAATTGCTGATGAGGCACAGAATTCAAAATGGTAATGCTTACAAAGTTGCAGTTCATTGCTGGAAAAGAACACACTATAGCAACTGCATTAAAGTAAGGGTGTGCATCATTTTCTCTTTCAAAGACTGCTTCACACCTGCAGGTCCGTAGAGGCCACAGCCCTCTGGAAGGGCTATGTGGGCACACAGGAGTCACCATCTTGAGCATGGAACACCTCAGAACCAGGGAGTCTGAAATGCCCTTCTGGTTCTCGTAGACATACTCTAGTACATAACTAATCCCAATGGCAGAGGGTTCCAGGGTTCTGGGGATGTCTCACCCAGACAAGGTTTCAATAGCCGCTCTTACTATTGCCAATAAACATGACTGGCAAGCAGGCACAAACCCACAGTTATAAAGAAACACCATTAATCAGTACAGTTCAAGCTTTGATCAGGCACTTTTTAAAAACAGATCAATTTAGATCAGCTGAAATCAATCTCATAGCCCATATTACATCCAGTAAAACCAGAAATTTAAAATGGTTTGTGATTTTATTATTATAAATCCTTTGACTTTTGCTGTTAACAAAATCTTTTATTTAGTCACCTACTTGGGTATTAAGCTTCCTAACAGTAAATGCAGCTAATTTTATCTTCCCATTTCTTGTCTCTAACTTAGCTTTACTATTTTCCTGGAGCATTTTTCTCTACTTCTCAGGATAAATTCTTCATACTTTATTTTCCAAAACAATTCAATTCTCCAAATTCTTTTTTTTTAAGGGCGGCTGGGAGGGGGAGAGAGAGAGAGAGAATTTTTTTAATATTTATTTTTCAGTTTTTCGGTGGACACAACATCTTTATTTTATTTTTATGTGGTGCTGAGGATCGAACCCAGCGCCCCGCGCATGCCAGGTGAGCACATTACCGCTTGAGCCACATCCCCAGCCCAATTCTCTAAATTCTTAAGAACACCTAAATTCT